TTGTGCGAACTGAGTCACATTGCCATGGTAATAAGCTTGTTTGTGTTGTTGGCTTGTTTTGTTAGTTATGCTTTTGTTTCCAAACCCTCTGGGGTATGATGGGGGAAGTATGAACTCGATGTTTTTCTCTGAAACTTTCTGTCATCAATGTTGTTAGGGTGTAAAGCTGTCGTGGTATAGTGGGTACGTCTTCGGACTGTCGATCAAATGGTTCACGGTTCGAGTCCCGCCGTGGCACCAATGTCCGTTGGCAAGACATTAGATTTACATTTGCCACTCTCTACCCAGGTCTTAAAATGGGCACCTAGAGTACCGAAATCGGGGTAACATTGGAGCGCCTTGAGCACCTTCTTTGGTGGATATATGCGCTCTTCGTACATACAATCAGTTCGCTACGTAATATCAAATTATTTTGTATTTTCCCGGTCATGTCACATATCCACTTTTTCTGATCCATGCCTGTCAAACAAAACACTAAATATTATCCATCTATGCAACGATATCTATTTTTGCTATGATATATTATTATAATCATCATCCAACTATAATTATCAATCATTGTTGACATTTGCAGAAAGGCTATTTTGAATCTTATTCATGTAATAGACAGAACACGATAATTATATTAATATCATCAACCTTTATATGTTCCAAATATCATCATCTTATTCTCTACGCCTCTTCTTTCTCCTCTCTCTCTCTCTCTCTCTCTCTTTCTATCTCTCTCTCTTTCTCTGTCTGTCTGTCTGTCTCTCTCTCTCTCTCTATCCCTCTCCCTGAGACTCAATGATTTACATTTCTTCAATCAAATTGTCAATCTCAAAAGGCAGGTATCGGCATCTTCCTGTATAATACAAATCTTCCGTGGTTTCATTGCAAGGCGGGAAAACATACTACATCTAGAATAAATTTAAAAAAGGTGCGTACCGAGACTGGGAAACGATCAATTTTATGCCATAATCAACACGACAATCTATAGCAGCAATGTCGAAAAAATGGGTTACAATCTTAATTCTGTACAGGTCTCTTGTGACTAACTTCCCATCTTCTTTACGATGCCCAAAACTCCCATTTAAAGAGAAGGTTGAGTTCTGGGAAGAGGTGAACAATAATCTGTGAGCGTTATCATTGTATTATGCAAGTGTGGAAGAGCATCAGATAACAAACGTTCTCTGTAAAAGCATTGCTCTTCAAATGCCTTAATATTCTAAACATGGCATGTATGATGTAACATCATACAAATCAGGACGGATTTCTTATGCCACCTGTTCGTATAGTCCCATATACATCTTTCTGTGTACAGTGCTTGTAACTTTACCAAGACTGGGCCAAATTTCTTATCATTTTGATGATTCCAGAACCTTGCAGTACACCAATACTTATATGCTGGATGGTCAACCTTTTCTGATCGATTCCGCAACGTTTCTTTCACAATGCAATCACATGACCAGAACTCGGCTTTAAGACGTCTGGTCATGCAATTACAATACGAATATGAAAGATACCGTATGGAAGCGACTGCAAAGGTTGATCATGTAGCAGATAATTATTGGTTAATACTGTTAGTTTTTGGAATAAAACAAAATAATAAGAAATTGGCTCAGTCTTGATGTATATGGACTACACAAACATGTAGTATGAAAGCTTTAGCCTACAACCTAGGCTGTTGTTTGTTATATTTCGAATATGTGGGCATTTGAAGAGCCATCCTTTTCACAGGACATTTTCTTTCTATGATTTTCTCCAACACTAACAAAACTTTCCTAGTAACTAACTTGGTCTTTAACGTGAACATACTGAATGCTTATACAACATTCGTGGCTTCGCAGATGTTAGCATATGGTTTTGGTTAAGCTATGATCTTCGTGTGACGTCAACATCGAGTGCATCTGATATGTGCCGGTGATCGATTGGATAAGTATTGAGAAAGAAAGGATGAATGGTAAACAAGTAAAAACAATCAGGAACATAGTTATCATTTCGAAAGTGCTTGGCACTCGTCACAATGTCGTTTTGATGAATAAGTACAAGTCACTGTCCAGTGACCATAATCATGATAATGTTTTGAGTAACAGATATAGGTGAGTGGCTGCTTAATGGATCACAATTATAGATTTGTTATCGGTTCATGCCTTTTTCAAAACTTGGTAAGTAATAAGGAAGAAATGACAAATAATCAGCATGACATAAAAACAACCAAGGACATAACTTTAATTTACAAAATACTTTGCATTCGTCATAATGTTTTGACGAATGCCAAAGTCATGATCACTGCCATATGACCATAATGTTTTAATTAACAGATGTTATTGACACTTAATGAGTGAATGCTTAATGAATTTTATTTATTGGTACATGGCCTTGTAAAAACTAACGATGTAATCAACATCTGCGCAAAATATGTGCACAAAGACATAAGCATGCGAATGGGCTTTATAGATTTGTTTCTCATTTCTCAGTACAAAATTAAACCACATTAAACTTTATCCCTGGTCAGTATTCTGTAAACATAAAGTTTTATATAAATTTTGCAGAATGCTTGGCGGGTAGGCAGATGTTATATTCTGCGGTAATTCTACTCTTACCCAGTCAGCTATGTAGAAGACTAACCCAATAAATATGACAACAAATGTATCGAAGTTTGCATGCGATCCAATCTGAAACTGCTAAATAGATTAAGCAAAGATAAAATTGGAAATTAATATATCGTCAAGAGCTTAACTAATCGCAGAATTATCAGTAATTCTCCCGGGGACCCTCATGACATTTCTTCATCGGCTTCAAGCTTACTTGCGGCAAACCACACATAGGGACCCTGTCAGTGTAGAGTTACACGATATTGAGTGTGTGGGCGAGTATTTGAAGGTGTGTGCGTTAGAGAGAAAAGGAAAGGAACCCGAAGCTCGTGACTTTGATTCTTATGATCTGTGATATAGATTAAATGCGAAAGAAAATAAAGAATAAGAACTTTTTGCTACTTCAATCCGACCTTCTCGTCTTTTCTTTCAGCAATACACGGCCAAAACAGGTAGAGCAGCCGGTATTTTTTTCTGTCGGGAGCAGATTAGATTTTGTAATTATGTGTTGTTTCCCACGATCGGGGTCATTTCCTGAAATAGTACAATAGACCATTTTCGTTGTCACCTGTATAAGTACTAGAATAATCATTAACCTTTCAAAGTACATGCACTCTGACGGCCTATTATTGTGATGTCCAGTCTGCTGGGATCTGAATATGACTGTCAACGTTAAATTGTTTTCACAAAACTTGTTATCAATTAACTAGTAACAGTAACTTATATATATATATATATAAGCTACTGAATCCCTTGCATTTGATTGACTATGAACAAATTCCTCATAGAAGTGATAACAAGCTTTATGAAACAGCACCCTGATGACGCAATGTATTGTCTCAACTTGCTTACCCAACAGTTCAACGGACTTTAAACATTGTTTTTTTATCTATTACCGTTGGTATTATTTTCAGCGATCTAATTGCAGGTCTGCTCTTTCACGAGTACGATATACAGGTATATGCGGTAATAATGAATAATTATGTAGTATAGACTTACAACTTACAGATGTTCTATGAACATAAAAAATAACCGAGAATAAACTTTACCGGTTGGAAAATGAAAAATGATTCCTACTTTTATTTCTACTACTACTACTACTACTATTTCTACTACTACTACTACTGCAACTGTTATTACTACTTCTAATATCATTACTACTACTACTACTACTACAACTACTACTACTACTATTACTACTATTGATACTTCTACTACTACTCCTCCTACTACACGTACTACTATACTACTACTACTACTAGTAATCCTCCTCCTACTACTAAAATAATTCTTCTACAACTACTACTACTACTACTTCTACTACTTCTACTACAACTACTAATTCTACTACTACTACTACTACTACTACTACTACTACTACTACATCTAATACTACTACTACTACATCTAATACTACTACCACTACTTCTTCTTCTTGTACTACTACTACTTTACTACTAATACTACTTATATAATACTACTATGCTATTACTCCCATTACTACTACTAATACTATTAATAATTATTGTATCAATAATGATAATTATAACTGGCTCTCTATCATTATTACCCCGACTTTAGCACGGCTGCCTTGTGATTCACAGTCCAGGGAAGTGTTTCACAAAGACGAAAATCGACTTTAAGTTGGACTTAACTATGGCGGGCCGTTCATGCAACTGTTTGCTCTCACCATTATGATCTTTAGATAATATTTTTCCTTCAATAATGAATTATCAACAAATGCAAATTCTGTAGATTTGTGACCACGATTTGTACGTCCCTTGAGAGACCAATGTCATTTAATGGTGAGACCAAACAGTAGCATGAACGACCTAGTTATGTCCATCTTAAAGTCGATCTTGGTCTTTGTGAAACACCCCCTAGAGACTGTAGATATAGAAAAGGGGGTATGAACATATACATTAGAAATGAGAACATTGATATTTGATACGCGTGAACATTTCTAAATGTCTGATTACTGAAAACGTTTTGAGAAAGATTTGTGGACGAAAGTTGTTTCAATTTCGTTGACGTTTGTGTTTGACATAAATGTACTTTTATAGATTTAAAATGGACCCGTTTAGCACATTTGCTTTTCCAAATACTTCATTTTACTCAACAGATCAAAAGTGATTATATAATGACGCTTATCAAATGTCCACTTTCTCATTCTTACCCCACCCCCTGTTTGCTAATTCAATATGTTGAATATGCAGGGGTCTGATTTATCACATAATTATGATGTCGTTCTATTTTGTATCAATAACGGTTGATATGTGTGATTTTTAAATTTATTTCGCATCTCTAGGCTTAATCAAAACAAAATTACACCGTTGTTGATTTTCCTGCTTTATTAGGAATGAATTGGTGGAATATACGGATCATTTTGTCTTCTTTATTTTTTTTAAAATTTAAAATATCCAGGTCCTTTTGCATCGTTCGCTACAAAGAAACTTGGTCCTCGGGCTGTGATGATGGTTGGTGGTCTTATCAACGGTGGGGGAATCTTAATGGCGTCCTTAGCAACCAACATTATTGTCGTCGGGGTGGGCATCTCGGCCATTGCGGGTAAATTGCATGCATATTATATATATATCAATATATATATACACGCTTAAAGAGTTTGGTCAAAATTTACCCAATATTGGGTATTACACAAAAATGCATATCTACCTTTTGCCAAGTAATTGCTAGAATTGTGAATAGTAAACCACTTCCACCTCGGAGATAGCACTGGTACGAAATAATGACCCCCCTCAAATATCCACAGATCTTTACACATGGAGACGTCCCATTTTGTGCATTTTAGAATTATCACTGCCAAAGTGATGGAGGGGCTTCATGAATAACTTTGGTTTGCTCTCTAGAAAAGAACACTTTCTTAATTAGATGCTGACAGCTTTAAATGGGTATCATGCCCGATACAAATTGTCTAAATAAGGAACATGGTAGTTTTATGTATTTCGCTTAATTATTGCCCCCTGGCTGCTGATGACGAGTGCAATAATTACCCCCCTTTACATATCTCATGACATGCTTGACTATACGAAGCACATGTCTGAAGAAAACATTTCTGGGGAGAAACATTAAGTGACTGAAATTGTGTGTACAAACAAATGAAGAGCTGCTTATCAGTGTCTATTTGTATAATGTGTACGATTTGTTTTCATCAAATTTCCACTGATCTGCATCTCTAATTTGTCTGCTTTTCATACAAAGTAACAAAATATAAGGGTGGACTTTCCATTTAATGGCCAAATGAGACATGAAATCATATCTCCGACTCATATACTCTATCCAAATATGAAAAAGAAAAAAAATACACGACAAGGAATCAGATTTCCATAGGGTTGTACGCAAACTATTGACATTCTTCTCCCAAAGATATATTTTGTGTGAAAATGTTCTCAGTTACAACATATCCGAAGCTGGCAGAAAATCGATCGAAAATAATCGAGGTATTGCTCAAACAAGATATCGATAATTAAATGTACATGTAGGGGTTGTTAGGCAAACGAGCACTTTGCCTATTTGAAACGCGAGCAGACTTGATAAAGATGCATAGATAATCTCATCTCCATTTTCGTATCCAGAAATGAACACAAAGAGGATGAGAAATCATACATGGGAGTGGGGGGGGGGGGGTTCAAATAGAGGAGGAGAGGTACGCCATCTTCCCCACGTGCTGGAAGTTCCACTCCGCAGGTTTTACTGCAACGTGTGACGTCATTTTAAGGCACTGCGCATGCGTTACGTCGTCTCAGTCGGCGATCGAAAATGCGTCAACCTTGATTTTCCTAAATCTAGTACATACATACCATAGAGATAATAGTTGGATACATACATACATATTGATCTTTATATAGCGCCTTTACATGCTCAAGGTACTCGTATGCCGCGTGCGCATAAAATATACAGTTCTTCAGGTAGACAAAGGAACATCCCTTCACTGCTATTATGTAAAAATGTGTAGAACAGGTGTCACATGCATATTCATCTGTTCTACACATTTTTACATAATAGCAGTGAAGGGATGTTCTTTTGTTGAGGGTAGAATGAGGAACTGTATATTTTGTCCTCTTTCTTTGTCCGTGATGTTCATAGTGTTACTTCCTGCATGGATGTATATCGTCGAGTGCAATATCAAAAATTTCTAATTGTAGTCAACATGGGCAGTTAAGTACGTTGACACGCATAATCAGTCGGCGTTCGTCGTGTTCTCGTCCACTCAATCTAAAAGTCCCTATTAATAACGTCTAACGTCGTGTTCACAGTATGATTCATTTGCAATGGAGTACTAATTTTTTGGCTCGAAAAATAGCTATTCTAGATTCATATTCATATTTATTTTGAAAACAAAAACGATTAAATCTCCCTCTGTTTTTAGAATTTGAGTTGTAATTATGTTAGCTGATATCTCTAATGTACGTTATAACATAAGAACTAAAACGATCATTAGGCTTCCTTTCTTTTTCCTCCATTTACAGGAACGGGCAGTTCTATGATCTATGTCGCAGCTCTAGTGACCGTCCGAAAGAACTTCCACACCTTCTACGCCATAGCTAACGGGTTGACATTGGCTGGGGTCTCGGTGGCCGTGTTCACATTCCCTCCAATCATCAGGGTTCTTATCAACAATTTCGGCTGGAGAGGCGCCCTTTGCATTTTATCCGCCATCTCGTTGAATACCATGGTCACAGGTGCTCTGATGAAAGATGGCGGCTACAAAAAAAAACCTAAAAGGCCCTCTGATGAGAAAGGAGAGACGAGGCCATTTGTATCGAAATCGTGTAACACGCGGACACCGAGTGCAAGTCGAAATAGTGAGAAAAACGATGATGTATCGTGCACCTTGAGAAAAAGTGGTCTTAAGATATCCGGTAGTAGCAATACGGGTGTAACATTCAAAGCCGTTGATGATATCAATGTCAATTGCCGATCCGAGAATGACTACGCATCGAGCAGTTGCAAGATGGGTCTACACAGTGTCTACATAGACGGTGAAATTACCTCAATACCGATGCCGCTGAATGGAAATGCAAGACCATATAGAAGACCTAGCATTAGTGAGAAGTATGTCAAGTTGATAATAGCCAACATTACCCATGGACTTCTTGGTGTGGTGGCGTTCCTGTGGTCTATGGCAAACACTGCTACGATGAAATACCTAGTAGCGGCCGGGGTCGAACGGGGTTTGACGTCTATCCAAGGTGCCATGCTCCTATCTGCAACCGGTGTCACCCAGTGTCTTAGCCTCCTTGTCAATGGTGTCATCATTTCCAAGGGCTGGGTAACCCCTCTTCAGCTGTACCTTGCTGTGTTCTTTCTAATGGCCGGCGCAGTATTCGGAATAGCCATGTTCCAACACTATGTCGTAGGCCTCGTCTGCTCGGCGATGTTTGGACTCGGTACAGGAACCATTATCTCGCTTAACCTGGTAATACAGCGTACCCTTGACCCAAGGGCAGGTGCGCAGGCTGCAGGATGGCTCATGTTTCTCGAGGGTGTGGGCGGCTGCATCGGAGGATTCTGCATAGGTAAGGATGAGGAATCGTGATCTCTTTCATTCGGGAGAAGGTTGATTTCAGGTTGAGGTGAAATATAATTCATGGTTGTACCACGATTACAAAACCTGACAGTTAACATTATCCCCCATGACCCATTAATCTTAATATCCATTTGCTTCAAGACATTTTCTTTCATAATGCATTTGCATATCAATTTTATCTTTAGAGGTTTGACAATTACACGCAACTCTATACAGTGCGTCCCAGAAAAAACGAAACCGAGAATTATCGATGTTTTATCAAATCTTAATCACAATGAATTATAATTAATAAATGACACATATTTGTTAAGCTTAGATCCTCCTTTTTCTTTTGATGCAACTCATATGATGCATATTTAACGCATGAGTGATCAAAAACAATTTGAAAAAAAGGGTACCAAAAATTCATTTGGCGGACGTTCACATGCCACCTGAATCATGAAAAATGAGCCAGGAATATTAAAGTTCTGTTTGTTTAAAGTAATGCTCGCATTACCATAATTTTATTAAACGAATCCGTTTTCACTGGCTGCCTGCCGTAGCAACAAACAACAAATTCCATTTCGTTGATGATCAGCCATGTAATTAAACAAATAGGATTTGTCGCTTAATACTACATACCTTGCAAAAATTTCACCCAGTTGACAACGTCATAGAAAATAGGTGTGATGCAGTCAAACAGCTTTTCGATTAAAGGTATTACAAAGTTTTGGTATTCATTGATCGTTGTCGCGGTTGAAATCGAGTCTAAAGTTATGAAATTATAAATAATAAACTCTTTATGTTGTATAGCTCCCGCTCAAGGTCAAATATTAATTTAGCTATGAAACAATGTTTCTTGACTAAAATCGACCGATTAGCTGTTCCCGTTTGGAAATTATATATCACAACTACATATTCTGAGATTTCTATGGTCGCAGCTACCATTGTACGGCCATAGGAGCTATTTGAAATTTATCAAAATTTACCGGGAGCACCGGTAAATTTTTATATTCTATTTTTCTCGAAAACAGAAGTGTTTTAGGGGCTAATTTTTGTGTGCTTATGAAACATCCACAGGGGCATCCAAATATAACAAAATTGTAAAGATTTACTATCCACCCAAATTTTTTTTAATTTCCGTTGGACAAGTGATGGCAGTACGGTAATGTAGGTCACTAGCCTTGGACAAAACAGAATGCTACTTCCCACAATGTAAACTCCCCATAATTTGTCCTCTTTCTTATGCCGCCAGCGAATTTAATATAATTGTAAGCGTTGGCAAACAAACGAACTGATTACCTGGTCATTTAGCCACCCTATACCTTTAATGAAACCCCGTTTTTATATTTAAACACAAGCAAACAGAAACAGAGCAATTACAAAATAATAAAATAGAGTATCGAAAAATGAAAAATTAGAAAAAAGAAGACCATATGAGCATTTGCTCATAATAGAGATGATAATTTGTGCCTACAATATACTGTTATCATGATTATTACCCGGTTTTATCCCTCCACCCCCTCCCACTCAGTGTTATTTAGGGTACGCGTAAGCTTGTTCACTCCCTTTGAAAGCACCCCCTATAAAGTCCGGTGTGTAAAGTCCATTAGAGCCGATTTTTTTTTCTCCTGTGTATTACGAGCCGGACTGTGTTGCTTAAAAGTACCCCTTTACCGGAGATTTTTGGGAACATGAATGCGGTCCCTTCGTTCCCGTAGTGGATGGGGGGGGGGGGGGGGGAGTGCGCGGGTTTTATCCCCGGTGACCTAAGACGCTGCATTATCATTCTTGCAATAACTGCTTACTATGTACCCATATACTATACACCTCGCTATACAATAAATGAAGTATAAGTATAAGTATAATCATTTATTGTCCTTTTCAGGAAATGTGTTGTCCACTGGTTACAGAGTATTGCGATACAGATATATAAATGAAATATTACAGGACAGTGATAAACATACACATAATGATAAACATACAATAGATGAGGTAATATATATGTAAGCCACGGTATATATGGTGGTTAAATAGATAATATCAGATTCCATTTGACAAAATATGAAGCTAAATTATTTAATATCAATGATTATTCCATAGTAAATCTTAAAATGATAATAAATACATGAATCATTATTATTGTTATTTGTATTATTATTAGACATTGCCATGTATTGTTACTTGCAGGTGCTGTACGTGACTTGTCTGGTAGTTATACAATCTCTTTCTTGGTCTCTGGTGTTGTGACGTCAGTTGCTGCATCACTTGTCATCGTCATCCTCGTTATCCGTCGTGTTAAGAGAGGTCACTAGAGGGCGTCTGTCAATACCTGATGAGAGTGCCATTCGCACATAATGCAAGTTTGGCCAACTGGATTCAATTTGATTTCAACATAGCGCATATGCTTCTTGCCACCCCCCCCCCCCCCCCCCTGTATGCAACATATCTGCAATGGTTGTTTTGTTGACACAAATGATTCCCTTTTCCAATAACGGAGGTGCTAGCACTGAAATTAAATGATTGCCTACTAGAACCTGATGGTGTCTGATTATAGCCTACGGAAATGAAAGAATTTAGTAGTTAAAGGGTTAAGTACAGTCGAACCCGTTTTAGTGGCCACATGTTAAAACTAATAGAAAATGGGCAACCTGTCCATTGCGGTCGTCTCTAGGAAGTAATGTATGTTGAAGGACCTGTCTAGATAGACCATCTGTCTATAGTGGCCACTTTTTCGATTAGATAGATTTGACTGTATCTTCAATCTCGTGCAATCGCCACCCCTTCCCTCATTCTAACGATGTACAAAGTTTATTCCAGACGTTTAATGCATACAAGGTTGACGTAGTGATGATGAGTCAGAGTATTTTTTTACATTTATATTTCAATATTATAAAACGATTTCATCGTGCAGTGGTGCATGTACATAGTAATGTAATCCTACAAGATATGACAACGTATTATATCGTTAATATCATATAATCTGTGTAGCTGCGATACAATGTATGTTTTTATTTCGTTGCATTAGACTTTCATTATTATTACGCGAAGTTTAACTAGAAAACTATTATTGCCACCTTAATCGTGATATGGCATCTATAAATTAAAACTTCAAGCAACCCGTTATGTAAAGACCTATAACATAAATCAAACTTCTAAATATATTTTCTTTGCTATGCTTTTGTATGTTTGTTGTTGCTGTTCTGTACTTAAAAGAAAAAAAAAGATTTTGACCTGCAGCACTTTATTTGCAGTACACTTTAAATGGTACTGTCATAATAATTATACGCTAATAGGTGTCCCTAGCTTTCCATAGGAACGTTTGTATGTGTGTGTATTTTGTTTGTTTGAGGTTGCCGTGAGTAGGTGTTTTACAATAACTTTTACTGATTATAATTATTGATATATTTACGAAAGTAGAAGGAAATTACAATAGCCTAGGCAGAATAATCATTATTGAAACATTATGTCCCTTCAAATATCTTGTTTATGTTATATAATTCATTAATACTGCCTTATATTTCATATTGTAACATTATATGGGCAAATTCGAAAAGCAACGTTGATGCCATTTTACTGTTACAAAAGAAAGCCATGCGTATATGTACTGATTCTTCCTATCGCGACCACACCAATCCCTTGTTTTCAAAACTAAAAACTCTAAAAGCTGATGATATACATTTTCTACAAATAGCACTTTTCATGTTTCGCTTACAAAATGGTCTACTACCTTCATACTTTCCCCCATTGTTTAATTTGAATAAAACCATCCACTCCTACCCTACAAGGCAAACTGAAAAATTCCATTTAAGAAATCCCCAAACCGCATTGGCTCTCAAATCCATTAGACACGCCGGCCCAGACATCTGGAACTCTCTGCCCATTGTAATAAGAAACCTTAGGACATTGTATTCTTTTAAGAAGGCAGTTAAAACTATGTTATTGTCTAAGTATTGATCCTGTCGTGTGTAATTTTACTGTATTAATGTTCGTGTGTACATTGACTGTATATTCAACAATGGTGTGTAATCGTCCATGACCTAGCATCGTTTAGCCATTCATGAATGAACCTGCATTCAATCAGCAGATGTATGAGATTTATTGTATAATTACCAACGCTCCTTCTCTCTCCTTTCCTGTTCTTCTCTGCAAGTCACACTCTTTTTTATTTATATTTTGTATTGTTGTATCTAAGTTGAGGGCTGCGGGCACGTCAAGCTACCCTGCTTATTTCTGTAGCCCTCCTGCATCTAATGTATGTTAATTATGCATTCAATATATTTGTTTAATCTCGTTTATTATCTGTATAAAATTATATACACTTAAAATATTGTATCAAACCATATTATGTTCATGAAAATGTATGATGAAAAAAAAGGAAAAAAAGATGCAGAAACCAATAAATCAAATCAAATCAAATAGACTATGCAAGATTATTATAAATACCTTTATGTTGTTTATCATCTAAGTATTTGGTCTTAGTGAATAGATTAGACACGCGTTATACACAGTACCTTCCGCTCTCTGTCTGTTTCTGTCACTTTCTCTATCTCTCAATTTCCTATTTCTCCATTTGTCATGTTTATATCTCAATCTCATTTTGATGGTGTGAGTATTTACACATATGTTTACATGTAAAATATAATTTGTAAAAGAAAAAAAAAGATTCATTTATTTATCTCCTTCATATTTAACATCCAAGATCACGTATTATTTCATAATTGAAACAGAAACCAATTTCTACCAAATAAAATGCCATGAATTTCGTGAAACATTTCAACCATTGCATGTACCCTTGGTTCGCCTTCTCAAACACTGGTGATGCAGTTTGGAATGGAAAAGTGCTTTGAAGAATGGGAGAACAGAATAATACCAATTGATGATGCCGCTGTCACACAGTCATGCAAGCCGACACAATCTCGGCCATATGCATATTGGTTTGTTTTCGGTGTGAGGGAGAGAGAGAGGGAGAGAGAGAGAGAAAGGGGGATTCACATGAGAGAGCTGAAGAGAGAGAGAGAGAGAGAGAAAGAGAGATGATAATTGGGTAAATGAAAAAAGGGAGAGAGAGAGAGTTAAAGAGAGAGAGAGAAAGGGGGATTCACATGAGAGAGCTGAAGAGAGAGAGAGAGATAAAGAGAGATGATAGTTGGGTAAATGAAAAAAGGGAGAGAGAGAGAGAAAGATAACAGGGTTTATAGAAAGAAAAAAGGACAAGAGAGAGAGAGAGAAAGATAACAGGGTTTATAGAAAGAAAAAAAGACAAGAGAGAGAGAGAGAGAGAGAGAAAGAAAGGGGTAAAGAGAAAGATCGATCTTCACAATAAATGATTGCTCTGGATGCGACCTAATTATTACTGTAACATTTCATAGCACCCTCTGAATATAAGGTTAAAATAACAATTTGTATATTGAGCGTATGATCTATGTATACGATTTAGATATATCAATAAAGTGAGACGTACAAGGTGCTCTCTAATATTCATACATTTTATCCAGAGGTAGAGGGGTTTTTTTCTCCAGAATTTAAGAAAAGATATATCTGAAAGTTACTTTGAAGAAAATTAATTCACACGTAGTAAAGGTTCAGTTTCTATAACGATAATAAGAGTTATACATGTATCAGCGTTGCGGTACAAAGAAAAATTACCATTTAAAAATATATCATTAACGATTGGGAAATATTTTTCAAGGAGTTTAATATCATCGTAACTACAAAAAAGTGTATCCATGGAAAAGGTACTACAAACCCCAAAGTCGTCATCGTTATACGATAATACTTTAAGTGTAAACTTAAGTTGAATCATCTCCTGTTAATATCAACCATTTGATACAATATGAGGAAATCAGACCATCGTTGATATCACGGATGGCAAGTGAGTGCATGGATGTTCGATGTAGTATAACGTTTAGTGGCAAACCACTCCCATTGGCCGTTCAAAACTGATCAATGCTCATCACTCTCTTTTTTCCTCTTTATTTCCTGTCTTTTCTCTTTCATTTCCTCCCGTATTTTCTCTTTCATCTCCGCCCGTCTTTTCTCCTTCACCCCCTTCCTTCTTTTCTCCTTCATCCCCTCCCTTCTTTTCTCCTTCACCAACTTCTTTCTCTCCTTCTGGTTTCTCATCTCCATGTGCCTGTTCATCCTTCCCTTCATCCTTCTTTCCCTCCTTGGAGTCCTTGCCCGTCTCCACATTAGACGGAGGATCCTTTTTCGCTTCTGCTGGAGTCCTAACGGGCTTGCGGACTCCCGGCCCCGCTTTTTTTGCGGCCACCTTGCCTTTCATCGCCAGTCCAGCAATCTTTTTGGCTAGATCAGCTTGATTACCAGCCTTTGGCGCTGGCATTGGATAATGCGGTTTGATCCTCTTGATGTCGACGCTGACGTTGGTGTAGAGAGTATGGAGGTCGTACACGGGGGTCGGATAAACGATGTCCGACAACCCATCCATTTTGTACCGCCCATTGAAATTTTTCAGCAAGTTGTATCTGATGGAGAAAATAATTCAGAGGGTAATGGAAAAAACAGTAAACCATTGTTTTCTGGCATCTTAAAATTAAGTAACAAAGCAACAACAACAACAACAATTGAGAATTTCGCTCCCTATTGAACCCTCTAAGTAAAATCTTGTAAGTAAGTGATTGGCCTATGTATAAACTCAGCAAAAAAAGAGAAAATGGACACTATTTACAGTAAAGATTTTCATATAAAGATTTAATAAAAACTTGTCTTTATGTATCAAACTAATCAAAGATGTGTCTTCTTTAAGATTGGATTTGCAATTGGAATCATACGATACATGGATGAGTGAGCAAAGCCATTAACAATAAATGAGTCTCTGAAAGAAAATTGAAGAAAAAAAAGGGTCATCTGTCTATCAAATGTTGACGAACATTGGAGGTATCCTATGGCCCGATTTTCCATCAACTTAGGTGAAAACTGGAAAGGAGAGGCATCTTGAACGTGCATGTCAAAACCATACATTCCTGACTTATCCTGAGACTACAGATGGCATCCAGGGCTAAATCATCCTCTTTGTTTTCACTGTTGAACAAGAATGTTTTTGCAATGTTTTTAATCGAACCTTCTAAAGGTTATATAAATGAATGTGCCCATTGATGTTGGCAAACTTTCCTTTAATTTGATTCATCTATGTATCATACTTTTATTGGCAGTTCTTATTGGCAGTTTATATGGTAATTTTGGACAATAAAAAGTGTCTATTTTCTTGTTTGGCTTAGTGTAGAATAGGGGGAGGGCAAATTCTCAAAAGACGTATGCATAAATATTTGAGTGAAAATCAATTGGGGCATACCAAATTTTTAAATTTAGGGGAATTTTCAGTGTATCAGTTTAAACAAATAAAGTTTTCGACATTTAGAAGAAACCATTCTTACTATCGTCACAAGAGGGAGCTAGTTTACTAGTCATTAGTACAATTATTTGACTTGTAAACGGGATATTTATATTTTTGTGCTACCACTCTATTCACTTTTTTTTACATTTCCAAACAGTTTGACTGAAACTGATCCCCATAATCTCTTTGAGTAAGTAAGGATATGGATCGTGATGAAGACAAAGTTTTTCAGTCGATAGGGTCGATGCTACTTCAACCCTACGTGCTGCAAAGAAGCAGTATTACTTTGCTCAATTTCAGGCGACACATAATGATATAAAAGGGACATGGAAAGTGATTTGGAATGTTTTTAAGCCAAAGCAGAAAGCGTCTGATGTAAGTAAATTAAACATTGATGGGAATGTAGTGGATGATCCAGAAGTTATTGTAGATAAATTCAATGAATATTTTTGTAATGTTGGCCAGAATTTGTCGCGTGTCATCCCAGAGTCTCAGAAAACATTTCAATCTTTTTTAGAAAACCCTAATCATAATAGTTTATTTTTATTGCCAACGACTGTAGAAGAATAATTTGATATTGTACATTATTTAAAGAATAAGAAAAGTCCAGGTTGCGACTTTATAACAAATGAGTTGATACAAAATGTAATTGATGGTATTGTACAACCCCTCGTACATACATTTAATCTATCAATGACCACTGGTGTTGTACCCATGAAAATGAAAATTGCAAAGGTTGTGCCCATTTTTAAAAAGGGTGATGCCCTTATCTTGAATAATTATCGTCCTATTTCTTTGTTGAATTCCTTTTCTAAAATTCTTGAGAAGCTAATGTATACTCGGACGTTAACATTTATGATGAATGCTAACATTGTGTCTAATTTTCAGTTTGGTTTTTGTGAAAAACACACTACCACTCATGCTATTCTACATTTGGTGGACAAGATATCTAGTGCCTTAGATGCACGCATGCATACAGTTGGTGTCTTCTTAGACTACTCTAAAGCGTTTGATACTGTAAATCATTATATTTTAAAAGATAAACTGTGCCATTATGGTGTAAGGGGAATAGCATTGAATTGGTTTAGAAGCTACTTAACAAATAGGAAACAGTTTGTTACTTTAAATGGAATTGATTCAGATTTGCGGGACGTCACTTGTGGGGTCCCACAGGGATCCCTTCTAGGCCCGCTTTTGTTTATTGTGTATATTAACGATTTTCAACTTTCCGCAAAAATGTTATTATTCATTTTATTCGCAGACGACTCGAGTGTATTTTTCTCTCACAGAAATCCACAAACTCTTTTGCAGACTGTAAACTCTGAGTTGACAAATGCGACTTTGTGGATTCATGCAAACAAGTTGTCTTTAAATCTTTAAAAAACTAATTATATGCTCTTTAGTAATTCCCTGAGTATATTGCCTGGAAATGTAATGTTCAATGGTGTTGAGATCAGGGCTCAAATTAATTTTTTGTCCACGGGGGCTCTTCCAAAGAAAAAAAGAGCCCCCGTGAGCCTTCTCACGGGGGCTCTTTTAGTGCTGACGGGGGCTCTTATTTTAATACAAATTTTCATTGAATTTGTACCCAATAAACTCCTTGGTATTTTATCATTATCATTTATTTAAGTCGGCATTTTCCCTGTTAGAAATTTACTTGTTACATTGCTGTTATTGACTTTTATCCCGTAATGACATTCTCTCCATTTCTTCCCGTTCTGCACAATTTCCTCCTCATTATTCGGAGCAACCTTATTTACATTCTTTCTTTACTTTTATTCTTTACCATATCCTTCCAAAACAAAGGGGCGGATCCATCTTTTTGCTAAGGGTGAGGGGGTTACCCCAATACGATGTGGAGCATCATCCACGAGCCGCGAGTCGATTTTTGTTGTTGCTATTTTGAACCCCCGTAAGTGATGTTTTCCTGGCATCTGCTAACATGCGGAGCATCGTCCACGAGCCGCAAAGCGGCAAGGCGAATTTTTGGTGCTTTTTTGAACCCCCGTTAGTGATGTTTTTCTGGCATCTACTTATACTGTGTAGGTCTGGACACATGATAGCATTTTTTCTATGCACATCACATTTTCACTTGGCAGCCCAAGGGGGGAGGGGGTTTAACCCCTAAACCGCCTAGATCCGCCCCCGCAACATCTTCTTCTTCTTCCCAATATTGATTTAATGGTCGAGTTACATTATTTGCTGGTCTTTTAGAATAACCAGATTTAAGAGGAATCACGCTTTTCACAACGAAAAACTTCTCCATGTTTCAGTCTTTGCGCGATCGTTTCCAGCTCCAGCAGATATTGGGCTTTGAACAGCGTGCACACCGTTACTTCCGACGCAGTATAGCATTGCTGACGGCCGCACTAGCTGCATGCACTGTGAGCTTCCGTTGTATTTATCGGTAATACTCATAGAGGTGGGGGGGAAGCTCCATCTAAGTTCCATTTCATTGGTTTAAGGTTTGAAAATTGATACTCAATATTGTGTTAAAGTTATATCAGAAAAGATAATCTTTATTTTATAATTCCCCGGGGGCGATTTTTAATTTTACAATCGCTCCCGTGAGCAACCTGACGGGGGCGATTATGGAGCTCACGGGGGCGAATCGCTCACCGCCCCCGTGTATTTTGAGCGCTGGTTGAGATTGAAAGAGTATCTACATTTAAATTTCTTGGCCTGCATATTGATGAACATTTAAATTGGAAGTACCATATTAGTAAACTTTGTAAATTATTGTCAAGAAATACTGGTGTAATTTATAAATTGAAATCTGTGTTCCCACTGAATATTTTACGTATGTTGTACGGAACTTTAATTTTGCCATATTTGCACTATGGTGTGCTAGCTTGGGGCAACTCGTTCAAATCTCAAATGGATAAATTACTACTGGTACAGAAAAGAGTAATACGAATTGTTTGTAATACTCACTATCTTGCGCATACAGATGTTCTTTTTTTTTTTTTTTTTTTTTTTAATAATAGTAGTGTTTTGAAAGTTAAAGATATTTATCATTTACAACTAGGAGCTCTAATGTATGAATTGAATGCAGGTCTACTGCCAGTAGCCTTGGCTAGAATATTAAAGAAAAATAACCAAGTTCATAGTTATTCCACACGTCAGGCGCAAGCATATCACTTGCCTCTTGTTAGAACGCAATTTGCCCTTACTACTGTGGGGTCCACTGGACTTAGGTTTTGAAATTCCCTTGAACCAAGAATAGCGCAATCATTCAGTATTTATGTATTTAAGCGCAAACTGAAGTTACTATATTTGAGTCGATATCGTCTAGATTTATAGTTGTGATCAATATTTAGGAAAATTAATTACTATATAGGTCAGCATAATTCTACTCCCATCTCTCACATCTATTCATCTGTCTTTTTTTGTTTTTGTCTGTGTTTCAGTCCTGTTGCTCGTTGTATTTTCCTGTTTCTCTTGTTTATAGCAATTATTTAGTAGTCAGTAGATTTTATTATACTTATTTATGTTTATATTTTATCAGTTGTTTAGGTAGTTTAGTTTGTCAGCACTTAAATGTATGCATTATTCTTATCTGACGAGTTTTGTTCTTTTAGGACATATTCATAAGCTACTCATGAGGGACCTTAAATCCACAAGCCTTGCTTTCAACCAAGGTCACCTCATCTTTCTTTTGTAACGCCATATTCTGTAAACTTGTTATATTCATGTCATATTTGTAAAGTGTGTTAAGAAAGAAAGATAAATAAAACTTGAAACTTGAAACTTGATGCCATGTCAAGTTGTTTTTAGTTTTGTCATGAAAACTCTGTAGATCGCGGACAAATATATACCTTTTATTGGGTTGGTTTCGTCAAATGAATCCACGATCACATCCAAGGTAAATGCAATGCTTACCTGTCTTTTGCCAGGGGTGCGCTTTTGTGATGATGTCTGATGACGTCATAATGGGCGATGGGTCCTTTATGGCGGGTGATCTCGAGGCCAACGTCTTTCACCCTCTTCCATATTTCATCATCCTCACCACCCCACCCCCAGTAAACATTTGGGAAGCCGTTGATGCTTCGGATGTTGCCTTTAGTAAGACCAGTGACGGCACCGAAGAAGTTGTCATACGGTAATCTAGAATAAAATTGGAAAAACGATTTATGCTGGTCATTGCTCACAAGGATATATCTCGGGACTATTAACGACAATATCGACAACTGGATGTTTGCAAGAGTCTATGGAATTTTAGATTTTGGTATCGTCTTCTTTAAAGGAGTACGATGTATGGTCCGGTGGCGATTGTGCCGAAACCAATTTCCAATTTACTCCTATCGATTTTCAAACGTCAACAATGGACCTAAATGCCTAATATGCTTAACCCTAAATAAAACCTCAAAACCAGTTCATATCCTATAGCCCTAACTCTGTTGAGGTTTCGTGGTCGAGTGGATATGTCACCGGACGGTGGATCACAAGGTCCGCGGTTCAAGTCCCACCGCGGCTCTAATGTCCTTTGGCAAGACATTGATCTACATTTGCCACTCTCCACCAAAGTATTAAATGGGTACCGGGTAGGATGCGAAAGCTAATGTGGTTTATGACGACTGGCTGGAATACTCCCCAGGGAGTGGATAATGCGCATACCTTGTGTGCGGGTAGGCATGAATTCGATGACCGGGGTAATAATATATATCTGTAAAGCGCATTGATAGGGCCTGCGGTCCTGAAATGCGCTATATAGGGACGAACTATTATTATTAAATGAAGGAAGTAAGTGTCGCCAAATCAAATATCGGATATACCTCCAAAAATCAGATTCGAGTATGGTACATTGTCAGTATATTTGAAGAAGAAAAAAAAAAGCTTACGACTGGCATATACCTATAATAACGATGTTCCGTGTTAATATAGCGACTTAATACATTGACGATGTTTCTAAGCACTTTACAGACATATTATTACTCCGGTCATCAGATTCAGGCTTGCCCGTACACAATGTATGCATATTCTCCACTCCCTGGGGAACATTCCAGCCAGGCGCAATCTTACACACGCTCCCAAATGCTGAGCAAACTACATTAACGTTCGCATCCTACCGGGTACCCATTTAACACCTGGGTGGAGAGTGGTAAATATAGATTAGTGTCTTGCCAAATGACGGTAATGCTGGGCTGGGATTTGTACGCCGTACCTAATATGATCTACAGTCCGGTGACTTATCCACTAGACCACAACACCTACTTAGAAACCATTCACTGAAGTGTAAAATGTCTTTACTTGTAATTCCACCTATCAGCACCGGAGACAAAATGTCTGGGCATACTGGAACATCCGTAATAATTACGGTCATCGATGGGTACATGGTCGACGTCATGGATGACGAAACAATCGTAGTCGGTGAAGTTGAGCGATTCGAGGAAGCCGATGTTCATGAGCATCGCGCGGTTGAAGAGTTCTTGATTGGCCTGGGGAAAAAAGAGAGAAGGAAAAACCAAATGCTATAAAAAAAAAAAGTGGCTACCCTCGTTCGCCCCTACTATGAACATGACGGACAAACGAAGAGGACAAAGTATACAGTTCCTCAGGTAGACAAAGGAACATCCCTTCACTGCTATTATGTAAAATTGGTAGAACAGGTGAATATGCATGTGACACCTGTTCTACACATTTTTACATAAGAGCAGTGAAGGGATGTTCATTTTTCTACCTGAGGAACTGTTTATTTTGTCCTCTCTCTTTGTCCGTCATATTCATAGTGCCCCCTCCCTTCTCTCCCCTCTCTCTCCCTCTCTCGCTCTCTCCCCCTCTCTCCCTCTCTCTCTCTCTCTCTCTCTCTCTAGCAAGGAGATAGTCGTGTTATACAATGGACGATTCAGATTGTTGTGTACATAACTTTCTTGTTGTCTGTGGAGGAGGTTATTCAAAATGTATTTAAATTTTTCACCAAACTTATTGACGAGAGACCTATTTGAGGCCTTTGAAAAGATGAAAGTAATGTGCAAAAGTAATGTGCAAACGTTATTCCTATGTCAAGTATCATGGGAAGAATGCTATTATTCACAATACCGCTCCTTCAATAACCTCATATTAAAAATAAATATATCTATTGACGACCTAAACCTTGGACCGAGATTTAAAGTCATATGTGTGACCCGTAACCCCATATTCTCCCATCGGTGTATAGTCATTCCCAGTGATGTTCAGCAACCGTGGTATGAGACAGTCAGCACAATATAAAACGAACCATTCGTAAAACACGATCAACCTTTCCCTTTCCTGAGTTCCAAGATAGTTTCTATCACAATGCGATCACATGAACATTAATGACGATGGTGGTAATGATGATAATAATATTAACAACAACATCAACAACAATGATAATTATGAAAATAAAAAAGATGAAACTGGTCTAACACCTTGTCCAAGGGTGTAAGCGCCGAGCAATGACCGTGTCCAGGACCAGGACAAAGAGCCTTTGTCAACAAACCAAAGTACTGCCACTACTTTTATTTGTTTCCGACATCATTTTGTAGCAAGTGCAAATGTACCCCCCCCCCCCCCCCCAGATCGACGACCCCATTTAAACAGAGCACAAAAATGAAATAAAAGATGTCGAATACATAGTCCTACCTGCTCAATAATAAAGAAGCTGAAATCGAGTAGCTGCCTCTGAAGCATCGGTATCATGTATCGCAGAAGGATTGGAAGATGATGAAATCGATCTCGAAATGGTATCAAAACAGCAACCTAAACGGACAGAGAGGAATGTAATACATGAATGTGAGGAAAGAGCAAAAACATTTTATCTAACTTACTTGGGGATTGAAATATGTTTTTTCCCACCGCTTCCTAAAAAATGAAGATTTAGCAATTTTTTACAGTATTACAAAATTTGTATTCTAATGTCCATCTATTACTTTTATCTAGGTCACAAATTAGCGACCGTGAGAAAATCTTTAAATTTCCTAGTTTACAAACTGTACTTACAGCACTCATTGAAAACTTCATTTTGTTTTGAAGGCCTTATTGTCAGGTTAAGCAAAACGCGTTATAGAGTGGTTACGCTTCCTCATTTCTGTGAAGCTCTTTCGCACCGTCCAGGATCACTCCACGAACTCACGCATGAGCAAATAAGATATTTTTTTCCAACGGAGCAGTAAAAGGATATAAAAATTGCCAACAACAGATCACATATCTAACGATCTTTGTATATATCTCTTTCACTAACTTTAACACTCAAATATAAAGTACACCAATATGGCTTCCTAAAAGTAATTATAGACGTGAGATACGTGTGAGTTTGCCAAATGAGCCTGGGGTGGGGGGGGGGGGCGATGCGGAGGATCTCGCAGAAAAGGTGAAGCGTGACCACTCGATGGTTGACCAAGCTGATTTGGAAATCGCATTCTCAAGCTCTCTTGTATACATAAACAAATCTCGGCCTATGTGATAACTGTAGTTTACACATTTTCTTCAAATAATTATCCAGTGTCTTATGCGAACTTAGAGCATAGGAGGAGAGAGAGGGATAATAAAGGCAAATGGCAAAACGATCCTTTCATAGAGCAGGAGTAGAGTCTTTGAATCTACAGATTTGTTGTCAGTTTTTTTTTTAGACGACACCACGTCACTCAAGAAATTCGAAGCAATATTTACCTTCCATCTCGGTAAACAATTTACTGGTTTAAAATGTCCACCCGGAAGATACCAATAATTGCTTATATTCATTGCTTCCGGTTCAATGACTTGATCGAAGAGCCAATCAACGTGGGTGATGTTTCCAGTCATGGGATCAACGAGTTTCTTATAAAGAATCTCATTGGCTCGTTTCACAGCGGTCCGAACATTTTCCGCCAAGGGTCCAAAAATGATTTCCTCTGCATGGACCATGGAAATGTCATTCAAATCCAGTTTCCTCTTGCCAACTGTATCACAGAAAAAATACATACATGTAGATGTCGTCAGGCAAATTCTTTTTGGAAAAAAAATATATCTCTCTCATTTATATTTCAATTATATACAAAATTAATTCACTGAAATGGTTTGTTGCATGGTATTCATGGATTAATGAACTAATGAGCGAATTGTTTTAAAATTGTATAATCATGTTTTTCATATTACTTAATTCTTTATGTAGATGAATCTAATCATATAACCAAACTGTAGAAAACTATGTCACGTGGCACAAAAGTTATTTTTTGTAATGAATAAACATGTTAAAAACGATTTCTGTTTCAATATGAATGAAGTCGGATGAAAAACCTGAAAATCCTTTCCGCACTCGTATTTGCAGTTCACCGTGTTAAGTGGGCCCCTATTTCCTGTCCCGTAATCCGTTCATATTCCTTAACTAATGTAATTAGTCAGTCTCGTAGTGCCATTATTTGGTATCTTTTCTTTCTTCCCGTATTTCCCCTGCCCGTTATTCCTCTGCATTCGGAATTATTAGTGTCCCTGTATTTCCTCGTGTCCCTCTACTCCTTCTATCACTGTTTTCCTCGTGTCCCTGTATTCCCTCTATCCCTGTATTCCATGTGTCCATGTGTACCTGTATTCCCTCTGTCCCTGTATTCCCTCTATCCCTGTATTCCCTCTGTCCCTGTATTCCCTCTGTCCCTGTATTCCCTCTGTCCCTGTATTCCCTCTATCCCTGTATTCCCTCTGTCCCTGTATTCCCTCTGTCCCTGTATTCCATCTGTCCCTTTCTTTCCTCTGACCCTGTATTACCTCTATCCCTGTATTCCCTCTATCCCTGTATTCCATGTGTACCTGTATTCCCTCTATCCCTGTATTACCTCTGTCCCTGTATTCCCTCTGTCCCTGTATTCCCTACGTCCCTTTCTTTTCCTCTGTCCCTGTATTCCCTACGTCCCTTTCTTTCCTCTGTCCCTGTACTCCCTCTGTCCCTGTATTCCCTCTTTCCCTGTATCCCCTCTATCCCTGTATTCCCTCTGTCCCTGTATTCCCTACGTCCCTTTATTTCCTCTGTCCCTGTATTCCCTCTATCCCTGTATTACCTCTGTCCCTGTATTCCATACGTCCCTGTATTCCATACGTCCCTTTATTCCCTCTGTTCCTGTATTCCCTCTATCCATGTATTACCTCTGTCCCTGTATTCCCTCTTTCCCTGTATTCACTTTGTCCCTGTATTCCCTCTGTCCCTGTATTCCCTCTATCCCTGTATTACCTCTGTCCCTGTATCCCCTCTGTCCCTGTATTCCCTCTGTACCTTTCTTTCCTCTGTCCCTGTATTACCTCTGTCCCTGTATTCCCTACGTCCCTTTCTTTCCTCTATCCCTGTATTCCATGTGTCCATGTGTACCTGTATTCCCTCTATCCCTGTATTCCCTCTGTCCCTGTATTCCCTCTGTCCCTGTATTCCCTACGTCCCTTTCTTTCCCTCTGTCCCTGTATTCCCTACGTCCCTTTCTTTCCTCTGTCCCTTTATTCCCTCTGTCCCTGTATTCCCTCTTTCCCTGTATCCCCTCTATCCCTGTATTCCCTCTGTCCCTGTATTCCCTACGTCCCTTTATTTCCTCTGTCCCTGTATTCCCTCTATCCCTGTATTACCTCTGTCCCTGTTTTCCCTCTGTCCCTGTATTCCCTACGTCCCTTTATTCCCTCTGTCCCTGTATTCCCACTATCCATGTATTACCTCTGTCCCTGTATTCCCTCTTTCCCTGTATTCACTCTGTCCCTGTATTCACTCTGTCCCTGTATTCACTCTGTCCCTGTATTCCCTCTGTCCCTGTATTCCCTACGTCCCTTTATTTCCTCTGTCTCTGTATTCCCTCTACCCCTGTATTACCTCTTTTCCTGTATTCACTCTGTCCCTGTATTCCCTACGTCCCTTTATTCCCTCTGTCCCTGTATTCCCTCTGTCCCTGTATTCCCTCTGTCCCTTTCTTTCCTCTGTCCCTGTATTCCCTCTATACCTGTATTGTCCATGTGTACCTGTATTACCTCTGTCCCTGTATTCCCTCTGTCCCTGTGTTCTCTACGTCCATATATTTTCTCTGTCCCGTAATCCTAGTGTCCATCCCATCTATCATGTCTATCACATATCCCCTCTGTCCGTGTTTGCCCTGTCCCGTACTCCCTTTATCACGCAATCCCTTTATATTGAAGTATACCTATTTCCCTTTTTGTCCCGTATTCAAATTATATTCCATTATTCACTGTGTCATAATATCCTCTGTAGTTCCGTATTTTCTCGGTGAACTGATACATTTTCTTACCTAGTCCTGGTATATCGATTTCAGGACATATCGGTTTTGCGGTACATGAGAAAGGACCTATGCATGAAAAAAGAGAACAGAAATCAGAATAATTATTTAGTAAGAGCCATTGTTGTTTTGAACACCAAAGCATTCGATACTCAAAAGAATAAATATTTTCAATAATGCAGGACGATGAGAAAGCGAACGCAAATTTTTAACATCGTATTTTACATGACAACATGAATAATGGAATTAGATGACAAGGTATCAAATCTGTCTCCCTCAGTCTATATCTATAATGGCTTGTAAAATTATCATTCTTTGCAAATTATTCCGTCTTGCCATTGAAAGCTTTAAAAAAATGATGAGCTTAAAAAAACACGTTCATATTGGTTTATTGGATGCGAGTGACTGCTTCATAACACATAGATTGACGCTCAATACAGGGAAAAATAAAATATAAGATGTTTGGTTCGAGACAGCAACTCCAACATTTTTTACACGTCAAGATTTATATTGATAAACAATTAGTTGAAACCAGTGACAACATTTAAATATATCGTGGAGTATGTATGATGAGCGTCTAACTTTTGAAGTTTTAGTAAAATTCTTCCCAAGGCTTTTAGAATAATTAATTAAATTTTCTGCAGGATGGTATTAGAACGATCCAAGGGGCTTTATGCATGTTGGGGGCTCACCGAATGACCCACATGAATGTCTGCTCTAAAATGGAAAGATCTCTCTTCTGGATGGTGCTCTCTCAGAATGTTTTAAGTAATGCATTGCGTCAACGAAATGCTCGTCCTTACCTTCGTAAACAACTTATAAACCCTATTATGACATGCGAACAAGGTTAATGTCAAGGCTTACAAATTCTAAAAATAGGGGGTAGGAAGTTGGTTTAGCTTCGTTTCATACTTGCATTTTACTCTGATCATGAAAATACTGTAAACTTCAAAATGTCTATACATAGTATTTTGTATTGAATAATTTCTTGATGATATATTTAGGCCTATATCTACATCCTTAATACCCATCAGTATCATCTCTTCGCCATGAGCGTCCCGGGACGGTGTGTGCGCTTTATACGTTTACACTATTATTGTTATTATTATTATTATTACTATTATTATTCAAAGTGTAATAAGTAAACCAAATAAACAGCATACCGTGACCTGCTTGTAGTGAAGCTCCGATTTCCTTTTCTCTTTCTTTCTCTTCTCTCTCGTAATTTGCGACGACCTTTTCTTGCTCCAGCATCTGCGCTCTAATTCCGGATTGTTCGATAGCAGGCTCAACCATGAAAAGGTTCTTTAGCTCATCGTTAACATTGGATAAGTCGAACAAATCCCGAAGATCCCCGGAAGTACTATGTTTATCTTTCAACGTCCGAGACCTTGCTTGAGACACAGAAGGCCCTGTAAAGAGGTTTAATATGCAAAGTCGAAAATAATACCGAGTTCTAGTAACGATCGAAAATGAATTCTACAAAATCCGACAAAATTATTACCACATAATGTATAAGTAAAACGTATATCTGTCAAATAATTATTAAAGAAAACGGATAATTACTGAGTAATAAGCGAAATAATCAAGTCTTCACATAAAACGTCTGGCCTGAAGGATGAATGGTATTATAAAAAGGACGGCGGCATATATCTCTGAACTCGACAAATTTATGCACCTTCGTTTAAGGGCACCAAACTTGGTATAGTACCGTCTGACGGACCAACTACACCACTTCAAATGCTTGGAAGTTGTCATTCATGATACAATGACTTATAATGTATATTGTCCACCCGATTTTATCCGGTTACTCTTCTCTTCAATCTAGTTGTTTTCCCTCTATTTCTTTATTTCTATTATGCTCTAATGATTGGCGTATGGCGTTTATGGCCATCTGGTTTCATAAATAAAATAATAATAATAATAATAATAACTTTTATTTACCCAGGGTAGCCACTTCAGTTATGAAACTGTTCTTCCAGCGGGCCCTGCATAACATAATATGTTATTACTACCCTTCTCCAATCTAATATGCTGAGCGCCTATAGCTAGAAGGCAGAAGGTCCCATTGTCATAAGTCTTTGGTATGACTCGGCCGGGGTTCGAACTCACGACCTCCCGTTCATGAGGCGGGCGCTCTAACAACTGAGCCACCATGCCCGGTGTATGTAGTTTCTTGTTCGCTAAGCTAGCTCATTTTGGGGCATTGATTATGGTTGTCTGACACGCACCCCACCCTCACCATTTGAAATGTCTTGTAGTGGCCATTCATGATAAGAGATCGTACCGAGCATTTTTCATCAGGTTCAAACTAGCCCTTTTTTGCTAATCTAGTTCAATTTTTTTTGCCCATTTTTGAGGGCCCTCCTGACCCCAACCCTCCACCATATTGTGTGCGGCAGACGTCCATTTTATGGTATCGATTTGTCCATCGATCATTGCTATGTTTTCATTTCATTTCATTTCATTTCATTTATTTAAACACGGAGGCCTACCTCAGCCCGCGGACTGTTCTTCCGTAGGGCCGTGCATATACATAAAAACATACAATATCAAAATAACATATATACAACATAATTCAACATAATAATAATAACATAAATATATACAAAACAAATATAACATACACTAAAAATACATATGAAATATTAAAAGGGGACGAGGATTACTCATTAAGGGCTCTTGATTCCATATACTTATTTAGATTACGTTTGAAATTTATAATAGATAACTCACGTTTAAGTTCTGGTGAGATTGAGTTCCAGCATTTCGCACCGAAATATCTTTTTTTAAAACATGTTTTTAATTTAGGTAGTAAACAATTATTAATTGAACTTCTCATATTATAATTACATTTCTTTAGTTCAAATAAATCTAGCAAGTAATTAGGACAATTGTGATTAGCAATTTTATACATCATGTCAAGGGCATGTTTATCTCTTCTTTTTTCTAAAAAAAATCAAGCTTTAACTGCTGATACAGGAAATTGTAGAATATCTGGCATCAACTTTTAATATAATTCGGAGGGCTCTATTCTGGAGGACCTGAAGACTTTTTCTTTATATTTCTCCAAACCACATCACAATAGTCAAGTTTACTTTGTAACATTGTTTTATAAAACATAAGTGCAATATTCTTAGATATATAGTTCCTAATTCTTTTAAATAGGTACAGCTTTTTAATAATATCTTTTCTCAGAAAATTAACATATTCGTCCCAATCGAGATTGTGATCTATATATATACCTAAGTATTTGCAATGATCTATCTGATTGAGTTTTACATCATTTATAAACATATTAATCGTTCGATTTTTAACTTTGGTTCTAGATCCAATTAACATGACCTCACATTTTTTAGTATTGAGAAATAATTTGTTTGAATTCAACCATTTTGAAAGACGTATAAGATCAGCATTAATGACATTTTCAGAAGTTTCTGTTGTTTTACCAGGGTAATATATGCATGTGTCATCAGCGTACAACGATATACTACATCTTTTAATACAATTTGATAAATCATTTACATATATGGTAAAAAAACAGGGGGCCTAAATTGGCCCCCTGTGGAATTCCACAAATTACATTCAGTTCGTCTGATTTTACACCATTTACAACCGTGTACTGTCTTCTATCAGTCAGGTAGTTAAGGAACCATTCACAAGCCCTTTTGTAAAGTCCAATCAATTTTAGCTTATCAAGGAGGATAGCATGGTCAACCGTATCGAAAGCCTTTTTAAGGTCGATTGTGACCATTCCAACAATGTCCCCTTCATCCAAACTATCCAACCAGTCTTCTGTGACATTCAGAAGGGCAGTCGCCGTCGAGTGCTGAGGCCTAAATCCGGATTGCTTCACGTCAATAATACTATTTGACGATAAATAACTATATAATTACTGATAGTATTGAGATTGGCCTATAGTTTCCCATCTCTGACCTCTGCTCATTTGTGTGGACAGGTATAACTCTAGAGCATTTCAGCTGGGCTGGTATTTTTTTTAAATTTCAACAAAGAATGAGTTAAAAGCGTTTGCGATAACCATCGTATATTGTGTGCACGATCAAATGTCTAAATTGTTTTGATTCGGTTTGTATTGGTTGTTTCGTACTTTCGTTATCGGTAAAAAGGTGATATTTCTTAAAACCTAGTATTAGAATCAAATTTTGAAAATATCCTATTTATTCTCCAAGACCTACCTGTTAAGCTGTTATAATTCAAAAATTGCCACAGGGCGAGAGTAGACACGACACTAGCACCAATGAGTAGATAGACCGCAGCGGACAAGCAAGTTCTGTTTGGTTTAAAAGGCAGACGACAGGTGCCATCTCCCACTCTTGTGCCACCCGGCTCTCCGCCATTCTTCTCTCGTCTTGTTGATGCGTTGGTCAACAGACCTACACAAAACGAACCTATGGATTTCACTCCTCGTGAAAACTTCTTCGACATCCTGATCTTGAGTATCAACCTCTCGTTTCCTCCTCGTCAGTTACGGACACATACTTTACTTTCTAATCCAGCGATCAGTGATGACTGAAAGCAGCCTAATAGAAATATTTCCCAAGAGAAAGAAAAATGTGTGGCGCCTATAATACGTCGCTTACAATTTACGCTCATCTTAAAAATGCTCATATCTATCCATTGTGATGCAACTGTGTGTGTAGCATCTGTGACCAAAGAGCTTCGCACAGAAATAATCAATGACGGTTTAGAAAGCAGGTTCTAATAATCGAACCACCTTATTGATTGTGCCATTCGCCAAGATTTTAATCTTGTAGCAGCTGGCTTGTAAAACGATATAACAACAAAAGATTATTGATTATTCCCAAAAGACCGGTTTACTAAATATTCAAATGCATGGACGCTACTTGTTGCTTTCTTTAAACAGTATGCCTAAAATTGTTAGTAAGCCGGCCTATTCCCAACTATCAGGGGATTTTTGTGGATGCAGGACTTGGCAACTCTAAAGTATGCAATCAGATGTATATCTAATAAGAAACCATGCATTAACCTACAACAGGTTTATCTTTTTGTAAATTTCAATAGGCTTCTCGTGATAATCCTGACAGTCCTCCATTGTTACAACTGCGTACTACCCTTGTGTTGAAATTAACTTGCTTGAACTCTAACTTGTGAAATTAGGATGCTGCATCCCCCTATCTCTCTCTCTCTCTCTCTCTCTCTCTCTCTCTCTCTCTCTATATATATATATATATATATATATATATATATTTCTTTCATTCTCTCCTCTCCCCTTCCTGTTCTTTCACCTTTTCTCCTTCTCCTTCTTCCTTGTCTATCCTATTTTTATTATTTTCCCTTTTACCTCTCTGCCCTTGCACTAAACTTGTTATTTTCTCCCTTTTTTCGTGCTTGAGTAAAAGTTTGATTTCTTCCTAAAAGGGGACATAAAGTTTCACAAGCTCTGCTTCTTTTTATAGGTTCCCCCTTTTTTTCTCAAGTTATGATGTAATTAAGAATGATTATATTTTCTGCATTAAAAAAATAATAATAATACAATATATATGTTCAATAAAGAAGTATGCAGTGTATGCACTTTATAGTATTAATGACTGCTTTGAGAGAAATAGTTGTTTTTATACGAACTTAGATCAAGATCTATCGGCAGATGTTGTTTTTGGAAGTTTATTTTCTTCTTCATGTCAACAATGCAAGATAAAATTGTCGGTAAGATCGATCGAGATTCAATTGTATTGAAATTACCGACCATTTCATCGCACACGTACGGTATCCTCGATCGCTCAGACCATTTTCTAACATGTCAACCTATGGGTATTTTACAGGAATAGTTAGAGTTTATGAATGCAATTTCGACCAATCAGATGGCTGGATTTCTTAAGTGAGGTATATAATACAATATATATGTTCAGTAAAGAAGTATGCACATCATTTAATAATTGCGACATTATTATCATACCGATTTTTGGTAATGCACTGCTTTGTTTTGTTAATGTTTTATTATATGTAATATGGGAAAGTGGGGATAACTTTGAACCGTTTTAACTATTGAACCAATAGTGGGGTAGGTCGGATGACCACTTCGTTCATGTCGTTTCAGACAGAGAAGAACAAAAAAAAAAGGGGGGAGGATTGCAATACTATAAACCAGTTTGGGCTGTGGTATCCACAGGGACTGAATGACCCCAAACATCCACACATCTTTTCAACATGGGAGAGGCACCACTACATGCTTTGTAGAGGAATCACTCCCATTGTTACGTCATGAATATATTTTGTTCGCCCTTCTGAAAATAATACTTGCAACTGTGTATCATGGAATGCACCGCTGTTGTATTAATGGATAATGATTACCTAATTCTCATGAGCACCTATCCAGTATTAATCTCTGAATACGGTCACTTTGTTAAAACAAAAGTGCACGACCATCACATTTGAATGGAAACTTTTCTAATATCAGGTCTAAGAAAGTTGTGGGAAATGTCGAACAATACCCCCACATCGGTGAAGACAAAAAATGATAAGCATGATCAGAGGAGGAGGAGGGAGAGTGGGGAGATAAAGAGAGGAACACAGAGAAAGAGAGAGAGAGAGAGAGAGAGAGAGAGAGAGAGAGAGAAAGAGAGAGGGGGGGGGGAGAGTTAGTTATTTGAGAGAAAAAACTTAAAACAGAAAACTCCATGTTTTTCACATTGCCCTTTGATGTTAGTAATGGTGATACTTTTCATACTTTGGTATTGAAATCATACCAGTAAAAAAGCCCTAAAAAAGAAAAACAAAGACAAAGAGAGAGAGACAAGAGAAGATAGAGAGAGAGAGAGAGAGAGAGAGAGAGTGGGCAGAGCATGAGGAGGGAACGTAATGTCACAACATATTTTGTTCAACGCCTGTTCCCCCTGTTTGTACATCCTAGTCGTTTTATGGGTTAATTTCAATCATTACCTTCTCCGGTTTATTTGGTGAGGTGTACAGTACACAATTCGATGGTGGTGATGGGGGGGGGGGGGGGGTCAAAGACACAGACTGTCCGAAGGGCTTCCAATCGATGGGACGATCGATCAAAGCTTATTTCCCATTTACTACATTTTAAGTTGGATGGATAGATCAATGTGCACTTACAACTTAACAGCCATTCAAGGGCACACCGCCTTGACATTGCATGATCTGAGAAAACTTGACCCCCTCAATAACAGTAATGATAATAAAGATAATAATACTAAGCAGATACTAAACAAGACAGGGACCTGGGGCCGGTTTCTCGGAATTATTGAATGTGTAATTCATGTCCAAACTACATGTAGTTTTCCCCTGCCGTCGTCAATGAGCAAACCTGTACAAGAGTAGAGCGTGATAATATTCGGGCATCTCGCTGCCAAATAAAAAGATAATTATAATGGGCACTATACTGCTCGAATATGAAGGCAATCACGCACCTCGCTGCCTGAAACTATATTAACTTTGCGAGTGACCAAAGCGAACGAGGGTGTAGAAGACACTTTATTATCTGTAGTATCTTACTTCTTCATTAAATACACAGTAGACATACTAGATTTCACGCATGAGTGGTTAAAATGAATTTGAAGGAAGGACACCAAAACGTCATTTGGCGGACGGTATCTGAATTTCAAAGAGAAAATCACATTTCTATATTTCATATGACACCTCAGTCAGGAAAAATGAGCTAGAAATAACAAAGTTCTGTTTGTTTAAAGTAGTGCTTGCATTTCCGTAATTTTATCAAACGAATGCGTTTTCTCTGGCTGCCTGCTGTAGCAACAATTAGAATCGACAAAAGACTTAACTCCGTTTCTTTGACAATCAGCCATGCATGAAGTCTTTCGTCTACGGTTGATTGTCAACGAAACGGAGTTTAGTCTTTTTTGTTAATTCCGTTTGTTGCTACGGCAGGTAGCCAGTGAAAACGAATTCGTTTACTAAAATTAAAAGTTGTACCCTAACCATGCGCCTGATATGTATATAGAATACAATTGAAGAAAAATCACGATGACAAAATTGACAATCAACCATAATAATGATTAGGAGAATACTAATAATAATCATCATCATCATAATAATAATAATAATAATAATAATAATAATAATGATATATATACACTACTACTGCTAATAATAATAATAATAATAGTTTTTGTTTATACATTTCATTTGTTATCATTCTCAAACATAATATAAAAGAATATAAAGTGATGATATGTGCAGTTCATGGTTGATAATCAAGAAAGTTGCAATAAACAAATGTACAACATGACTTTGATCATAAAACAATTTATTAATGCACGAAAAATTCTACTTGATAATTACCAAGCACCTGCACAAAACAAGACGTGAACAAAAAAACACAGTCTGTTTGAAACGCAGAGGCCTACATCGTAGCAAAAAGCTTGTAAATTGAAGGCCCCTGAGCAAATTAACAAACTTGCAACCACACACGCACACATACATCCAGGCACCCGGATTTGTAATAACAACAGTAAGAACAATAGTCATAGTAGCAATACTAATTATAAGGTTTTATATTGATACTGATCTTCATGCGATCCCTGCAATTTACTATTACCCAAGCAATTGACAGCTACCAATTTACACCTGGTTCCATTTTATTTTATTTTATTTCTGCATTTTCCCCAAAACAATAACTTAATAAAAAAGAATGTCGAGTATGCCGAGGACAGTCAATGACCCGATGCTGGTTGGTTAATTGTCCATGTACAAAAATATTTTGGGCCACATTGTTTTAAAATCGTTTCAAAATGTGTTTGAACTAACCATAACAACCCCATTTTCATTCAAATTGTATGTAAAATGTCTTGATTTGTAACTGTCCCTCATTACCTGCACATGCAGGTAATGAGAGACCTTTGGTGCTGCCGTCATTAATCATTGTTATCTTATTAATCAGTTACATCATGCCCACACTTTTGTTACCAAATAAAGAGAAGAAGTTACTCGAGAGAATACAAAACTTTCTGTATGTGTAACATTTTTCCTGTTTATGTAAATTATGTAAATGTGCTTAAGGGTCTCCAATGCCCTGCACCTACCCTATCTTGTATTTTTAATGCTTTTAAACGATGAAACAAAGGTTCCGTGTGTGATAAATAATTTGAGTTAGAAATCATGCGAATCACTCTCTTTTGAAGCAAAAATAAGGAATTATTTCTTGTTTAACTACAATTGTCTCATACAATATTGCAATACAGCACTTGTGATGAAATTAAAGCATTATATAATATAATCATAGATCTTTCAGAAAGATTTTTCTTTAACTTAAGCAGTATTCCTACAATCCTTGATATTCACGTAAGTAAATAGAGTATACGCTCATTAAAATTTCAATGAGGGTCCATAGTGACTCTTCAATTTTTTTACAAATTGTTCTTCAATGAGAGACTAGCCGTCGATCTCAATATCAAACATCACTTATATCTTGTATATTAGTCTTTCTAAACATAGTGAAATATGTTTTACTTACAGTTAATGATAATTTATTAAATTTAAACCACTTAGAAATGTACATTAATTAAAAATTTAACGGCGTTATGAGCATATCAAAGTTTTTATGGAATAACAAACACTCGTACCATCAGCAAAAATAATACTTAAAAGTGAAGAGGATTTTAATAATAATATCATTTATATAAATAATAAATTCATGTACCCAGCATAGATCCTTGTGGCACACCAAATTTCATACTTTTTAATTATGATTTGTGACTCTGGAAAGATACGTATTATTGTCTGTCTTGAAAATAATTAATAAACCAAGAAAAGGCTTGACCTCTTATGCCATAGTAATGTAATGTATGAGATAATATGATCTTTCATTTGAAAAACCTTTTGAAAGGTCCATAAATACTCCAATAATATGAACACTGTTAAAAAAGCCTCAATTATTTGATACATATACAAATTTACATAATCGATAGAATGCCCTTTTTTAAAATGCAAACTGGTTAGGAATCAATAAACTATAATTGGCCTATAATTACCTATTTTAATACTGAGGAATAATCCTTTTTATAAATAGGAATCACTTCAGCGATGTTAAGGGTATTCGGGCATACACCCGTTAAAAATGATAAGTTAAATATATATGCCAGGGGGGTTACAATATTAAAGATTATTTGTTTCAAGAAGTAAACATCTATACCATCAGGGGCACTATACATGTATTTGGTAGGATCAAGTGTTAAACCACATCAATAATTTCAAAACCATTGGTTGGAGTAAGAAATAAAAAAAAATACAAGGGGAATCAATGAAGTACTTTGTGTATTCATACCACCGGAATCAATGTTAGCAGATAAATTAAGGCCTACATCTATATAATACTCATCACAATCGTTTGAAATTTTAATTGGATATATAAATTGTTATTCATTAATGAAGACAAAATCACTACTTCTACATTTGTTTTGCCTAAGAGTTCATTTACAGTTTTCCATAGTAAATCATTGTTATTTTAATTAGTTTCTATGTTGCTAGCATAATATAAACCAGGATAACCCGGGTGGAGAGTGGCAAATGTGAAGTAATTTCTTGCCAAAGGAGATTAGCATAAATAATACCTGGCTGGAATTCGAACCATCAAGCCTTGGATTGAGAGTCAAGAGAATGAATCTTAAAGACACCTCCGCACTATTATGAAAAGAGGATGGGTCAATTAAGATCAAATAGCCTTATTGTACCATGACCCCTAAATTAACACCATGAACGAATGCTGAATACAATTTATAAAAACAAACACGAAACCTACCAAAACAAACTGTACAGAGAAACTAAATTGTAACATTAAATTTTAAGTTATGAATACAAACTTATACATTCTGAATACAAACGAATAAAACAAGGATTATCTGCGATCGTGGGCAGAAAAGAATCCACGGATTTGGTACAGGTGATAGGGAGGTGATGTTAAAGGTAAAGACCAGTAATAGAAACGCCCCAATTTAAAAAAAAGAAATGGAAGCTCTTATTACCAATCATGTGAAAGAATATGTTTTGACTAATACATGATGATAAAAAAAATGCCGGGAAACCGCCTACTAATTGATATATTTGGTAAATTAGTTTAGCTACATGGTCTGTGAGAGATATGCGTAGTCCCATATACATCTTTCTGTGTACAGTGCTTGTAACTTTACGAAGACTGGGCCAAATTTCTTATTATTTTGATGATTCCAGAACCTTGCAGTTCACACCAATACTTATATGCCAGATGATCAACCTTTTCTGATCGATTCCACAACGTTTCTTTCACAATGCAATCGCATGACCATTACTGGTCTTTACCTTTAAAGCCCCACAGTCCTACTTGTAGCTACTTGCTCCCTCTCTATAGAAAACTTCCCCAATCGGTGCCTGTTTGTCTCCCATGATCCTCTTTTTCTTATGTTAGTTGAGAGCTGAGTTAATGAGATAGCCACCTGTCAGTGACCTCGCTGTGTGGTCTAATCCCTTCTGGCCCAGTTGTATTGAGGGTATTTAAGGGAAACCTCACCCCCCCCCCAAAAAAAAAAAAAAACAGTTTAGTTATGATGAACGGTAAGATGTATTACCTTTCTTACTTACTTGGGTGTAGAGACGTAAAGCTGCAGCTTATTTGCCACTCGTCACGTATTTCTGCCTTTTGATGTACAATATTCCTAACGAAAGTGTACAAGGGATAAGTAAATGAAAATATTCTTGACATCACAGGCGGAGCTACGGGGGGGGGGAGGGGCGGGGAGGGTCACATTTTCCCTTTATACATAGGAAAAGGTAAAAATTATAGTTGATGAAAAAATACATAAAAGTGGAACAATTAAAAACTCATTTATTAAAAAAACAAAATATAGCAGTTGACGAATCTTTTTTATTTTTGCGGAACCTTCACCTTCACCCTCTTGATGTCGACGCTGACGTTGGTGTAGAGAGTATGGAGGTCGTACACGGGTGTCGGATAAACGATGTCCGACAATCCATCCATTCCGGTTCGACGTTTGTATGTGCTCAAAAGAGCTCCCCTGTAGGAAGAATCAGAGGAAAGAACAAAAACATTGATTACCGGGTATGATTTCATTGTAGCTTTGCATTGCAATTCTGAAGTGCTTGTTATCAGGAACAACACACTGAAAATCTAAGACCGGGAAAGTGGTTACTTTCAAAATGGCGTCCAAGAAGGCCGCCAACATTAAATTAGTGACAAATCATGATAGACACTGTTGGTCATAATGGTGGAATAATTATTTTTACCCCAATTAATGGAATGATTTTGACGATGATTTATTCATAAAAGATCTAGATAATAGTATACATTCTCATATTTTATTGAATAATAGTTTGTGAGTGTTTGTTTTGCGTGACTGCTAAAGCATGTGTGTGCTACTATGCTTACCAACTAGGGGGCATACGTCCTTTAGTCATAACTGACAGTAGTGAGGGTAATGCCTCATAAAAGGACACTAATATAGCACATCGACACGCTTTTTATCCTGGGGGCTCACAGTAACGAGGCCATTGCTTAAAGGGATCCGGTAACTTTGTCTTAGATCCTTTAGAAATAATCCTTGATTTAGATAATGCTGCAATGATAATCATAAACCTTTAGGTCAGTCAGGAACTCTATGACTTTTACAAGCCGATCGCCTGTCTGATTATCAAGATATTAATGATTGGAATTACAAATTTTGAAAACCGTTCGCCGAACGGTTTTCATAACACTACAGTCTATTGGGGAAAACGAGTATGGTAAAACCGGTCACTTTTTTGAGGCACTTCTTGATCATTTTGAAGCGCGATTTTTTAGGGCTTCAATATTACACCATATCACAAACACTGGTAACATGTAGGACCGTGTATCTCAGATTTAACATTGTTAAACGATCCCTTTAACCAATGAATCATGAATGTACGCAGCGGGGGCTAGGGTACGTCGCCGCCCCCACAACTCCCCACAAAGAAAATGCAATATATTATCAATAATCCATTGAATTTTGCCCAAACCCCAAACATTTAAAAAATCCTCTATTTGGGCATGCCATGAACCATAATGCATTGCCCTACAGAGGAATTTTACCTGTTGGGGACCAGGGGAAAATGTAATGAATTATTGATAATTTATTGCATTTCTTTGTGGTTTTTTTTATTTGTGGGGGCGGCGACGTACCCTAGCACCCGCTGCGTACAGTCATGATTCATGGGCTAAGTAATGGCCTCTTAAAGGAGGTAGGTGATTAGCATGGTAGCATACACATGCTTTAGCAGTCACGCAAAAAAAACACTCACAAATTATTATTCAATAAAATCTGAGAATGTATACTATTATCTAGATCTATTGGGAATACATCATTGTCGCAATCATTCCATAAATTGGGGTAAAAATAATTGTTCCACCATTATGACCAACAGTGTATATCTATCTTCGAAATGTTATTTTGGTGTCTATACCTAGGTTTTCGGAGTCGAAGAATCCATTCATACCACTTACAGTTAGTTATTGCCACCAGAAGACCAGGAAATTCAAGATGGCGTTCAAAATTACCGCCAGTCTCTTTAAAATAACAGGAAGTGACTTATTATTGGGAGTATAGCTGTAAATAGCAAGATTAAAAGTGTGTTTTAGAGGTAATCATATTCACTTGTGTGCTTCAAATTATCAAAAAGATTTAGAGTAGCCTTATAGTTCTAAAAAAAATACCAAAGATGGCCGCTGAACACTGAAGTTAGCCATAGATCGTGACACTTTCATTTTAGAGATGTGATTTGGATATGTATATCTGGGTTTTGGTAGTCAACAAATCCGTTGAGACTGTTAAAAATGTGTTATGGACACCAGAAAGCATGGCGTCCAAAATGGTAGCCAGTATCTCAACATAATAGGATTCGGGTTACTATTAAAAATGGAGATTTTTAAAATGTAAAAGTACATTAATTTTTATAGGTAAGAATATTCGATGGTGCAATAAAAAGTATCATCAAGTTTAAGTTTAGCTTTTCATGAAACATTGTATTCAATATGGATGCCATTGTGCCATTCAAAGTGGCTGCCGACACCATATATTGGCCAGAAAGCATTATGTAACCCTCCTAGAAAAATAATATATAGGCGTCTTTACATTGGTTTCAGGGTCAAAATGTCATTCAAACAAGATGCAGTTGGTATGTGTTCTGCCTAGTGGGCAGAAACCTGTAACAAAAATCAAACCGAGTACGGTATAAGACAATGGCAGGAAAATTTAAATAATTGTAGGTATTTAACCCTTTTTTATACAATGGTGATACATATAATAGATGTAAGTGTATTTCAGAGCTTAAGGAATAAACTTGTTTGATAAGAAATTTGGTAACAGTACAGTATTGTTGCCACTTGATATCCTGGAACGTACAGTCTGTCATAATTGCTTTGTCTGTAATTGACCTGGATTTAAGTAAAATCTCATTTTAAAGGTAGTGTATCGCTTTTTGCAGCCTACATCGAATCATGTAGAACCTTACATGTTATATGAATATGACACATATGTCCTTTCTATGAAATGTAAACGTTAGTAGTGTCCTCGTATTCAAATTATGCAAGTAAACCCGTTTACACTCTAGACTTCACTGTCAAACACTGTTGAGTGACTGACTGGCCTTGTTTTCTTTGGTAATAACATATTACATTAAATGAGCTGTAAAGCCCCTTTCACACCGGATCTGAGTTGCGTAGTGTTGCGTACCGACTACGCCGAAGTTAAGCTGCGTACTCATGAATAAATTGATACTTCGGCGTAGTCCCTGCGTAGGTTATGCATAGGCTTGCGTACGATGGCGTATAGTTACGTACCCTGTGCGTAGGCACCGCGTACCTACGGTGTAGGCAATTGGCGTTGGGGTACGTACGCTTGCGTACCGGAGTGTTGGCTCAGTCAGTAGAGCGTCCGCCTCACAACCGGGAGGTCGTGGGTTCGAACCCCGGCCGCGTCATACCAAAAGACGTTAAAAGATGGGAGTTGTTAAAGATGGGAGTTGTTGCTACCTTGTTTGGCGTTCAACAATAAGGGATAGAGCAACGTCGATCTGGCGCTGCTCAGTGGCTGCCGGGCTCACGATCAATTGGGCAAAAAGAATTTGGAGTGGACTATTAGGCTATTATTATTATTATTATTATTAGACCTGGCGTAGTGTTACGTACGCTTTCGTAGGCCTGGCGTAGGGTTGCTTACGGTTGCGTACGGATGCTTACTGTGTGCGAAAGTGCCATGTAAAAATGCAATAGACGCTCGTAGGAGCCGCGAGTGTAGCCATTGGCGCTTTATAAACCTAGTTTTCTGCCCTCAATCCACTGCTGCCTGCTGTCCAGAACACATCACTGCTGTTTGAATTACAGATGACTGTTGTAACAACACAGGCAGAAAAGATCATGAGTTGTTTGGGCCCTCGGCAAAAAGGTACAATACTCCAGCATCTGGATGCCCTGGAAAGACTAACTAGTCATGTGGCAGAATGTGAACGCTTGGGAGAAATACAAAAACAGAGAAGGAAAGAAGCTAGGAGGAGAAGAAGAAGAAGTGTGTGGGTAAAACCTTGGATCCAGCGCAGGCCCCTGCAGGGGCAATATGAACAGCTGATGAAAAAACTGCATGCTGAGGATGTTTCCGCATGTACCAATTTCATGCGGATGGGACCACAGGATTTCTATGAACGTCTGACACGAATTGCATCGAGGATTACCAAACAAGATACTAACTACAGGAAGTCTCTGGAACCTGGTTTAAAGATGGCTGTCACCTTTATGTTTCTGGCCACCGGCAACAGCTACAAGACACTTCAATATGGATTTCGAGTTGCCCATAAATTGTGTTTATCCCACAAATGTGCCAGGCAATAATCGATGAATTATCTGATATGAATATGAATTTTCAAGCCCCCCCCCCTTTTTTTTAGGGAAGTTCTAAATTAATATTATCTTTCAAATACCATTGGAATTTAATCTTTTTATTTTTTTAGGCCTGCAAATGGGATATAGTACCTTTAAGGCAAGTTTTTAAAACATTAAAAAAAAAAAAAACCTGGGTAATCTATTGTGCAATTTTAGGGTTAAAAATAATTAATAATTAACAGTTTATAATAAGGAAGGGGATATTTGAGTCATTCCTCGCAGCATGCATGGAAAGTTGAGTAGGCCTATATAGAAATATTCATATTAAAATCAGATTGCATCCAAAGCAAATAAAATGCCTACCTGTCCTTTGACTTCTGTGCACTTATGTGATGATGTTTAATGACGTTATAATGGGTGATGGGTCCTTTATCGCGGGTGATTTTGAGGCGAGCGTCGATGACCCTGTATAATATTTCATCATCCTCACCACCCCAACCCCAGTAAACGTTAGGGAAGCCGTTGATGCTTCGGATGTTGGCTTTAGTGAGACCAGTGACAGCTCCGAAGAAAGCATCATACGGGGGCCTGCGTCAGTGAAAAGAAAAAGATGCATAATCAACAATAGGCCAATTGTTTTCAAAGGCTCGATTAACGCAAGTAATAACGCATGCATTGACATGGCAAATCTACGAAATTCTCGAAGCGATTATACAGCATATTCAGAAATTGTTTTTAAAAAGGTTAACGCAATCGGTTTAGATAATAGGAAATGCAACTGATGCTGCCGAATCCTGAGTAAAACACTTACGCTTTAACGATTATACAACAAATAATATCGTACAAATGTTAAAATAACGCTTACAAGGATATTTTTCAGGACTATTAATGACAATATGGAGGGACTGCGTATTTGTGAGGGTCCATGATATTTTGTAAACTTTGGAATCGTCACTTTTTGAAAGGAGTACGACTCATGATCTGGTGGTGATTGCGCCGAGATCAATATCTAACTCTTATCGAATTCCAAACTTCAACACAGGACCAAATACCTAAATGATAAGAGTTAAGCATATTAAATATGCTTAACCCTAAATCTAACCTCTAGACACGATGACAACATATAACTCTCACTCTCAATGACGATTATCCTATATGGACACAATAAAGAAATGAAATGAAATGAAAGTAAACTCGGAGCCAAAATAATGTCGGATTCACTTTTTTTTTTAGGCGATTCGAGTATGATTGTCAGTTTATTTAAAGACTGAAAGAGCTGACCACTGGCCCACTTTAAAATTATTTACTGAAGTGTAACATTTCTTTACGTGTTATTCCATCTATCGGTATCAGAACTGGCGATTCGAGTATGATTGTCAGTTTATTTAAAGACTGAAAGAGCTGACCACTGGCCCACTTTAAAATTATTTACTGAAGTGTAACATTTCTTTACGTGTTATTCCATCTATCGGTATCAGAACTGGAGACAAAATGCCTGGGCATACTGGAACAGCCGTAATAATTACGGTCATCGACGGGTACATGGTCGACGTCATGGATGATGAAGCAATCGTAGTCGGTGAAGTTAAGTGATTCGAGGAACCCGACGTTCATGAGCATCGCACGGTTGAAGAGTTCTTGATTAGCCTGGGCAAAAGAGAGAGAGAGAGAGAGAGAGAGAGAGAGGAGATTGAGGAATAAAACCAAGTGTTATCACAATAGCGGATAGAAAACTGACTCTAGCAAAGAGATAACTGTGTTATATTAATTCATTATTAAACACAATTTTCTATTGTCTGTATACAGCACGATGTTTGAAATTAATTGGTCTTTTCACAAAAACGTATACACTCTAAAAAATATTGGGCAAAAACTGAATTTTTGTGTGTGTAAACCCCCCCCTCCCCTTAACCTCCCTCAAACCCTCCCCCCCCCCCCTTTGGATTTTTTTTTTTTAAATATAATATATACCCATGGCTGGCCTAAAAAAGCTGACCTTACCCCCCCCCCCCCCCCAACGAAGCAAAATGTCAAATTTTCAAATTTCGAGACCTAAACAAAATTTAAAAAGTGTTCTCTTACCCCCCCCCCCCCGCCCCCCGCTTATTCAGCGACTGGCTGAGTCGTTGCGAAATTTTCGGCCCGATTTATAAATTTTAACCCCCCCCCCCCCCCCCTTGAAAAAAATCCTGCGTACGCGCCTGATTGACATTGACATTGATATTGATGATTGATATGACACGGTTCCACACTCCTGAACTCCGAGTCTATATGGAAATACTGGGAGTACAAAATCAGGAAGTTCCTCAGCAAAACTCTGACAAGATGGAAAATTGTGCTGGAAAGCAATGATGAAATGCACTGAGATGTTAGTATCAAGAGAAGAATCTTTCAAGGCGATAGTGTACATGTATATCCACTCCTGTTCGTCGTGGCAATGACACAAGGACACAAGTGGTTGGGGTACCTAGTCTTTGGATATGAATCCAAACATGAAACATCTGAATTTGTAAACGAATTTAAGATAGAAAGGCAAAGCAACTCCAGTTTAAACACCTTTACGGCGTCTTTTGGAGGTATCCTACCAAGTACCAAGTAACTCCCGGACCGGCAATCACGCCGAAAATTCGAAATCGAAAAAAAATCGACCTCTGGAGTGTGTTTTTTTTTTAAGCGACTGCCGAATTTTCACCGATTTTTGCAGTGTAAATGCAAACTAAGGTAAGATACCGATTTTTGCTCACGTGACTCTCCTCGCTTCCGTGCTTATTCATGCAGGGCACCGACGAATAGCGCATGCGAAATATTCTCCCCAAAAATCTGTATGAGCAAACTTCGACGGTTTTTCGAAATGGTGTTTTCAAAGTGTAGATGGGCCAAATATGTGATTTTGAGCATTCTTAAAAATTTGACGCGTGCGCGGAGTTTATTATGCCTGATATTTCCCCTTGGCCTGAAGTTTATGTGTACCAAATTTAATCAAGTTTTGATGGTTGGTTATGAATATGATTGGTTTTAGAAAATGGCGCCTAGATGACGTCACGTTTGAGTGATCACACCGAGACCGGGAGGTTTTCTAATCCTGACCAAAGGGAATCAATGGGCAAAAAATTGATGGTGATCGGATTGTACGTTTTTTAGAGAATAATCTGACTATAGAAAAAAAAATCAAATAGTGATCTGCAGCTTACATAATAAGAATAATTATAATAATACTGATGATAATGAAAAAAATGTTAACAAAATCAATCATCATAATAATAATCAAACAAATAACCATCATAATAATGATAATAACAATAATATAACAATAAAGTTTAAATTTTTTTTTAATTGTACTACTAATACTACTAATATTATTACTCCTACTTCTGATACTACTACTACTATACAAAATACTGATAATGATACTGATAATTATTGATAATAATAATTATTATAACAAAGAAGGCAGTATCATTTGCCACGAAAATTCTCATCAGCATAAATACTGTCCTGAAGGCCCTACAATTATCAATACCCCCAGCATTGCTAGCCATTTGAAACACCTGGATTGAGAAGGACAAACGGTCTAATCCAGGACCTCGCGTATAAGAGTCAAGAGCCTTCATAAACAAACCATAGTGCCCCTAATGTTATGTAATTCCGAAATCACTTCTCAGTAAATGCAAAAGCACACCCCCCTCTCCTTCAAAGATCGACGTCCCTTTTAATACCAGAGCATGAAATGAAATAAAAGATGAATACAAACCTGCTCAACAACAAAGAAGCTGAATTCGAGTAGCTGCTTCTGAAGCATCGGTATCAGGTTTTGCAGAACAATTGGAAGATGATGGAAGCGATCTCGAAATGGTATTAAAATAGCAACCTAAACGGACAAAGAGGAATGTATAACATTCACGTGAGAAAAGGCCAAATACTTTTGATCGAACGTTTTTCAAGGATCTAATTTAGTTCGATAATGTGTCATGCAACTTGAATGATAGATGGGTTTATTTGTTAACGACTGAAACTTAATATGTAATTAGAGTAGGTAGTTATGAGCAGCGTTAAAACATCATTTAGACACTTTTTTTTACTCTCGGTTTAATTTGTATATTCTAAATGGGGTGAACGATATCTGTAGGTCCCAATTTTTCTGTTATACCTTTAGAATTAAAGAGTGCATTATGCGAGAGAGCGTACGAAGAGGAAGAGATATAAACTGTCATTGAACCGGAATGAAAATGTTAATAAAAACAAATTTCAAAAATGAAGGGGTGAAGTTTTTAAATCGACAAATTTTTCGTCTGTTTTTTTTTAGACGACACCAGTCACTCAAGAAATTCGAAGTAATATTTACCTTCCATCTCGGTAAACAATTTGTTGGTTTCCAATGTCCACCCGGAAGATACCAATAATTGCTTATATTCATTGCTTCAGGGTCAAGGACTTGATCGAAGAGCCAATCAACGTGATTAATATTTCCAGTCTTGGGATCGACGAGTTTCTTAAGAAGAATCTCATTGGCTCTTTTCACAGCGGTCCGAACTTTTCCCGCAGAGGGTCCGAAAATGTGTTCCTCTGCGTGGTCTGTTGTTGTTTCGCTCAAATTTAGTTTTCTCTGTCCAACTGTATAACAGGAAATATATGGTGGTATCATTATGTCAAAAACCTTTAGGAAAACAATTTATTCACAAAAAAAACTATTTCATTTGATCAAAAAGTAATTTATCGAAATATTTAGTTTCATATTGTTAATGCGTTAATCAGTTACAAGCATACTTACTATTTTCGATAGTCTTGTCTTTATGTATAGGTCGGAATAAATACATTTTATGAAGAAAAAAATGTGCGGTTGAGATAGCATTTTTTTTCAAATGACAGTGCTGAAAAAGGCTCGTATAACAAAAGAAAAAGGTCGACCCGTATTGACTTTACACACCGGACTTTTGCTGAAAGGGGGTGGGGGGTGCTGAAAAAGGCTCGTATAACAAAAGAAAAAGGTCGACCCGTAATGACTTTACACACCGGACTTTTGCTTAAAAGGGGGGGGGGGTCGCTTGGAACACGCATATGCGTACCCTAAATAACACTGAGTGTGTGTGTGTGTGTGGGGGGGGGGGTTCTTGTATTGCCCCTATCCCGTAATCCCGGTTTCCATCCCCTCTGTCACGTCCAGGCGCGTACGCAGGGGGGGGGGGGGGCTTAAACCCACCCTTGAGTTTTTTTAATGTGTATGTTTTATGTATGTTTTTTGGAACCCCCCCCCCTTTTGAGATTTTTTTTTTTTTTTTTTTTTTTGCCAATGGCTGATGTAAAAAAGGTGACCTTACCCCCCCCCCCCCAACGGGACAAAATGTCAAATGTTCAAATTTCGAGACCCCCCCCCCCCAAAAAAAGTGTACGCTTCCCTTGCCCCCCCCCCCCCCCCCCCCGCTTATTCAGCGGCTGGCTGAGTCGTTGCGAAATTTTGGGCTCGATTTTAAAGCCACCCCCCTTTGAAAAAATCCTGCATACGCCACTGGTCACGTCTATCCCATATTCCCTCTGTCTCGCGTTCACTCTTCCCCTAACTTACTATGTCACGCTTCCCTTAATATTGAAGAATTCTCTGTGTCCAAAATTCCCTCTGTAATCCCGTATGGTCTTCGCAAACTGATGCATTTACTTACCTAGTCCTGGTATATCAGAGTCTGGACATATCGGTTTCGTGGTACATGAGAAAGGACCTATGTATGAATGAAGAGAACAAATATCAGAAGAATCAAGAATAAGGTTCACATATTTAAAATACTGGTGTGTTTTGGGGGGACACCTTCACACTTTCAATCAGAAAAAACTAAACATACCTATGCTTCGCGATTTAGAAAATTAATGGAATTGCTTCGTTTTACCATGGACCCTACTTCGTAGTAGGGTCCATGGTTTTCCTGAGACACCTTCAATCAGCCATCCATCATTAATTTACCACGCTTGTTGATAACCTCCTGGCATCATCATTGCATGCTGTTGACGAGTCTAAGAAAGCGAGGGCAGACTGGCCATTCTGAATTCGATGAGATTTCCCCACGGGCCGCTCGATATTATGGCTGAAGGTCAGGTTGATCTGTGGTCTGAGGGCCGGTTGATCAAATAAGGAGTACGATATGAAAGAAAGTACTAGCCAATCGCGCGTACACATTATGGGCTCATTCTTTATTTGGTAAAATATCAGGGGTAAACAAATAAGCCCCTCCCCCTTGGGCATAACTTGGAAAGAGAAGACGGGGGGGGGGGTTATTGTTAGAAAAATGAAACAGATAAACACCAATGTCATACATCCACGTAGCCTTGGACATTGCTGCTTTTCTTTTCGTCTGCCACTGATTTCATTTTTAATAAACATGTATTCTGCCAATGTTTTATTATCTTATGTATGGGGACAGAAAAAAATACAACAATAACAACTAAATTTGATTTCGTCAATGCTTTTGACAAGTCCATCAAAAACCTCAATAATATGTTCACTGTTCGCAAAGGCCTCATTTATTTTATCATACATACATGTATGCAAATTTGCATAATCGGTAAAATGACCAGTTCGAAATCCGAACTGCTTAGGAGTCAATGAATTATTTTATTGTGAGAAAGTGTTAAGTCTTTTATATATTATTTTTCAAGAATTTTAGAGATACTTGGTAATAATGATATTTCCTATAATTACTTATTAGTGAGGAATCGTCCATTTTATAAATAGGAATCACTTTAGCGATTTTAAGCAAATTTGGGCATACACCCGTTGAAATTGATAGGTTCAATATATATGTCAGGGGGTTACGATGTTAAAGATTCTCTCTCTCTCTCTCTACGTGCCTTATTGTTTGACTTTGGCGATCATGCTGTTCCACAACCCTCGGCTCCTAGCCTTCTGTATTAGTACCTCTTCCAGTTCTTTCACTCCTCTCTCTTCCAACAATTTCTGCAGACTGTCCCTGTCAAAGCAAGATTCTCTAGCCCTCTTTACGTGTAATGTGACCCATGAACTTCAACTGCCTAATCAGCGTCTCACGTATCATTGTCCTTTGCACACCAGCTCGTGTAAGAACTTCCTCATTACTAACTTTGTCAGTCCAGGGGATTTTCATAATTCTCCTTAAAACCACATTTCGCAACTTTCCAAACGCTTTTTAGTGTCAGAGGCTAAAGTCCATATTTCACTTTATATACCTCATTTTAAGATTCTTTACTAATCCTGTCTTCTGATTGGTTGAAAATGCAGTCATGTTCTTAACCATGCCCGCTAATTGAAATTCATAGTCATTTTTCCCGGCTCTACCGGTTTATATCCATTTTTCATAGCACTTTTTCCATGGCTGTGAAACGTGACGTCATTTTGCTGCGATCCCCATTTTGGTTTACGTGTTACCGTATAAGTTTCTTTTGTGCGATGACCGATGCGCAATACCGTTAACGGTGTTTGAGTGCAATTCGATTTTGGTCGCTGCATTCAGGCGACGAATCTACCAATCCACGCAGCGCAGACGACCGATCGCCATTTTGTGTACTAGTCTCGATCGCAAAATACTGGGGTTTTTTGTTTTTCGGTATATAAAATATATATTGACTGCTTTTAATATTCGAGGCATAGTGGTTTCTATAGGGTCTCGGGAAACTCACAACCTGCTATGACCCCGCGGCGCAAGCGCCTTGGGGTCATAGCAGGTTGTGAGTTTCCCTTGACCCTATAGAAACCACTATGCCTCTCAAAGCAGTCAATATATCCTTAATAATACATAAGTACTGGGTACATGTAACAATTCAGTACTCTTATTTTGGTCCTCATACTCATTGTTCGATTTGTCAGAATTTTGCCTAACTTTGAAAAAGCAGACTTAGCGAGAGCTCCATAAAGATTATTTGTTTCAATAAGTACACACTTATACTATCATGGCCACTATAGATTTTGTAGAATTTAGGTGTTGAGCCACATTAATAACCTCATAAACATTGGTTGGAGTAAGAAATAAGGAATTTACACGTGCGAAATTCAAGGACTTATTGTAGTCCATGTCACCTGAATCAATATTAGCTGCTAAATTAGGGCCTACACATATATATATATATATATACAATGTCGCTCATTAAGTTGGAATATTTTTGTTTTACCCCAATTTATGGAGTTATTTTAAAAATAATTTAAAAATAATAGATCTAGATAATAGTATACATTCTCAGATTTTATTGAATAATAATTGGACAATGTGTGTTTTGCGTGACTGCTAAAGCATGTGTATGCTACTATGCTTATCAACTAGGGGGCCTACGCCCTTAAGTCATAAATGACAGTAATGAGGATTAATACCCCCACAAAAGGACACTAATATAGCACATCGACACGGTTTTGATCCTGGGGCCTCACAGTTACGAGGCCATTGCTTTGTCACTGAACCATAACTGTACGCAGCGGGGCTAGGGTAGGGGGCCGTTTCCATAAATTAAAAAAACAAAGAAAATGCAATAAATTTGCAATAATTTATTGCATTTTACCCCGGTCCCCAACATAAAAAAATCCTCTGGACGGCCATGCATTATGTAGTACTCATTAAAAGCTTTTGAAATTTTAATTGGATCTGTTATTTGTTGTTCATTAAATAAGAAACATTTATTACTTTCTGTATTTTTCTTGCCTAAGAGTTCCTTTACAGTTTTCCATGATAGATTATTGTTAGTTATATTACTTTCTATGTTGTTAGAGTAATATAACTTCTTGGACAATCGTATAAGAAATGTGAATTGATTCCTATACGTTTTATACTTCTTAAGCTTATCGTTACATTGACTTGTAAGGGCTTCCTTATACAACTTATTACGAGCGACTATGGGGCGCAAAATACCTTTAGTAATCCATGGTTGTTTGGCCTTTTTACCTTTTTTTAAATTTTGACAATAGGTATATTCTTATGATAATAATAAAATATAATTTTCCGAAATTGTTCATATGCTACATTTACGTCAGATACACACAATACATCGACCCATTCTTCTCGGGCTAAATCTAAGTTTAACGATTCAATATTGTGTTGTGTTCAAGTTCGTTTTCTATGCATTGCACAATTAATTCTAGTCAAATTTGTAAAGCTTTAAGGGGCCAGCAGTTATGAATATCTTGATGACTACCGTAATATTGCATACAAACGGGCTATCAGTCGCAGTTCTCTGAGGGTTTTTTGTCATTTCTTTTTATTTGATAAGTTTTTATTGATCCAGTAATATTTTGAGTTCATTTTGATTTCATCCTTTCCAACTAGTGCTGCAGCAAAGAAACATTCATACCGCACATTCATTATATGTTTATATTCCATCTAATGTTGAGTGCTCTTCACGGTTGCTCACTGTCAGCCTCATATTGTTGAGGATGATGAAAGCAGCCATATGTTTGTGTTTACCTTATGCATTAGAAGTATTTTTTAATGACATCTTTTTAGGATTGGTATGTATTTCAATGGTGCTATTCTACTGTAAACATTTAGTTATATTCATAACGTATCTACTTTGATACAATGAGATACAATTGGAAATAATTGCCATTTTGGGCGCCATTTTGGATTTCGGGAAAGAATGAAGTGGTTTTATTGTTACTTGTCTGTTTCAAAACGTTTTAATAAGTATTTTGTTGAGTTCCTTGTGATGAAAAACATTTTTTTTATACATTTAAATTTTGTATGTGGGTTATCTAGTTGCAAAGTTATAATAATTTCAGGAAATGGCGGCAATTTTGGGCGCCAGTTTGGATTCCGGGAATGGTTCAAGTGGTTTAAAGCTACTTGTGTGTTTCAAAATGTATCAAAAAGTATTTTACAGGTCCCTTATGCTAAAAACATACATTTAGATATTTAAACTTTGTAACCGACAACAAAGAAACACGTGTGGTTTGCTTTAGTATTTCAAACAACAAAGGGTTCCCAACCAGATGTCTATACTATCGGGTATTTGGCTGTTTTCCATTATTCAACGTGTGAAGGTGTGAAGAAGAAATATTGGTTCCATATGGTGATATGACGCAAGCCCTCTGGTAGTCTCTGACTCTATTCTGACTGAGGGGCATTTTGACCCGCACCCCATCCCCGCACTGTTAATGTAAACGTTTCATTTTCTAGATCATTTCGCATGATTCTATCCTATTTCCTAGAAAATGTTGATGGAGAAGGTAATAATGCCATTATCTAAAGGAATTTGTTAGAAGTTTTTATATATAGCGTGAATTTGTATAACTTTCATATGTCTTTACCTAATCTTTTAATATTTGTACAGTGTATGAATATTTCAGCATTTGTTGTAATATGATGTTACATGTATTGTACGGCCCCATTGTAAACCAGCCAAGTAGCTGAACTGGGCTTTTACCGTGCTTAAATATATGAATCAAATCAAATCAAATAATTGAAAATAGCCAAGAGAATCATCAATATAAAGAGATTCCAGAAATCATTTGTCAATTTGGGGGGACCTGATAGAAAGAAAATGTTTTTTTTTTAATTTATTTTTACTTTTGTAGAAAGTCCATTTTGGTTTTGAATGGGTTCATAACTTTCTTACTTTTTGTCCTATTAAATTAAATGTTCACATGTCTTCTCTGATTTGTCTGCTTTCGTTTAGAGTAATTGTCTGTTACTATTGTATTTCCCTTTCAATCTTATCAGGTAATTTTGTGTAGGTAGAATGGTAGATAGTATAAATTTGTAAATAGGTTTTTATTTAAGAATAGCCTATAAAGTTGCCTAGTTAAAAATGTAGCTTAGAAATGGTTATTGTCATCATACTATGATGAATGTAATTGAACAGTAACTCTGAACTGCATCAAAATGAATTTAATATGTTATTAACAACATACCATGACATGCTTGTGGTAAAGCTCCGATTTCCTGTTCTTGTCCTTTCTTTCCTGTCCTGTACTTTGCAACGGCCTTGTCCAGCTCCACCATTTGCATCTTAAAGCTGGATTGATCGATCGCAGGCTCAAACATGGTAACGTTCCTTAGATTATCCTTAATATTTGATAAGTCGAACAAACCTAGAAGATCTCTGGAATTACTAGATTTGTCTTTCAAAATCCGGTACCGAGACGCCAACTTTCCTGTAAAGAAGTTTACAAAGCAAAAAAATCTTAAAGGTCATCTCGAGTTCTGATAATGATCGAAAGTAGATTCTACAGAATCCCACCGAATTATTAAAAACACATTTACTTGAAGTAAACAGCATATCTGCAAAAGAATTCTCAAATAATAAAATGCGCAAAATTTAGAAAAAGACATCTTATAAAATAAATGGAATATTAAAGGGACAATAAACCTTTTCAGATGTGAACACAAAATAAATATAAATATTGGATAACATTGTAACAATAAAATTGGTCAAATTCTGAACGAAAAAATATTTGGGGTTAAGCACGAGGGATACTGGCTACGTGAATTCTTCTGAACTGACGTCACATTGAAGGAGTAAATGTTATTGGCTCAAAAAGTATCATCGTTGAGGCAAATTGCACATAATACACGTTGTTAGGTAGGACGAGCCATAAAACATGCACTTGTCTTACGTGGCAACACTATTTCTATGACTACTAGGACACATTATAGCAGGAGAGGATAACCATGTTTGTAATACTTGCAATGTTGCCATGTCCCAGCACAAGTATTACGTGGCAACAACTGCTTTTATGACTACTGAGACCCATTACAGCAGATGAATGTAACCATGTTTGTTATACTTGCAGTGATGCCAAGTCCAATCAGAATGATAGCACAAAACGGCATGTGAAAAATCACCAACATTACCCTAAAATCAACAAGTTCAAAGAATGACCCATATTAATGCCTATTGTGGCCTCCCCTTTATCAATGGGTATTAGCGAAGATTGGTCAGTCCCAAAATAAAACATGCGAGCATATTGTAGGACAGAAATCATGGCTACAGTTTTCTATATCAAGATTTTAAAGACATCAATTCATTCTCCCTTCGTCTAGGAATAAGACCTACCTGTTGAGCTGCCAATATTCTCAAATTGCCAAAGGGCAAGATAAATTACAGTACTAGCACAGATGAGTACATAAACAGCAGTTGTGGTTATGTTTTGTTTCAAGAACTTGCAGGAACATGATCCTATAGATTTGACTCCTGGAATCGGCATCTTGATTTAATCTCTCGTTTCTTCCTCTCCGGTTACTTACAAATATATATTTATCTAACAATCATTGGTGACTGAATGAGCTGAACCAGCGAATTGAAAATCACTTTACTACAATAAGCCGAACGCCGCACGCACAGCCTATATGAATATTTTGCATGGATCGATACCGGTGTGACAAAAATAATTGTCCATGTGTCCGATGCCAATTATTCCTAGATAAATCAAGGGATATCTGTCCACAACGCTCCGTTGGACAATTATCACTGGTGCACCTCTAGGGATAAATGTCCAGGCACAGGAATTAGTGTCCATCTTGTGAGTCGATTTACAATATGGATTATTTGCTCATAAAAAATCATTTGGCGAATGATATAGAATAATCTCAAGTTGGGTGATATAAAGCGTGACGAATATGTTTATTTTTTGTTTGTTTAAGAGCTAATTTGTCTTATAAGTTATATATACAGTATATCATGTATATGGGCCTATCATCGAGTCGATTTTGATCCTGAGACAAAATAAATCTCATCGAAAATATAAAGTGACAACATACAACTAAAGCCGTGGAGGTTAAGTGCAATTTACTCAAATAAACCAAAAACTGCTGTCTGTTAAACAGAAATATGAATTAATTTCCGGAGAAGCCTTGAACAGAGACATTTCACATCGTGCGGCGAACTTAAGAATAACGGCCGCTCGCGTATAACGCTTGGCGCTGATTATCTCGCCGCGTTCCGTTCCGACTAGTTTTGTTTAAGGGATGGTTTGAGTTCTGCTTTTAGACCGCAAATGCCTTCAAAGTGCATGTTTTTTTCTCCTAATCTTATCTATGACATTTCTAGTGCCCTTTTAGAACGTAAAATTGCTATGAAGGTAATTTTAGACCCGAAAATGTGTGAAATTTAGCCAATACGATCATACCAGTTCAGCTCCACTTTCCAAAAAATACGGTGACCGTTAATTAATTATTTAATCAAAAATAACAATACATGGGCAGGCTGGTCGTGCATAATATCAGGCGCAGATCAAAGGGGGGGGGGGGGTAAGGAAAAGAGGAGAGAAAGGGAAAAAAGAGAAAGAAAGAAGGTAGGGAGATCAGTTGCGATTTTTACCCCCAACAAGGTGGGAGGGGGCACTCAACTGGCGTACTGATGGGGGAGGGGGCTTTGGGGAGACAGATGGCCCCAGATATAATTCAAACGTGGTTTATTTTTAATTCGATACCGGTGATTTACAAATGTTGCTGAAATGACATAATTTTCCGGAATTTGTCCTCATCTTTATTTAATAGTACTTTTTTAAGCGTTTGTTGGAAAATTGCAAATTCCTAAAGAAAGAAAGAAAGAAAGAAAAGTAACCTGCCTTTTTCACAAAATAATGAGGTGTCAAAATTTGCTCATCTGCCCCCTGGATTTCACCTAGGGCCCTAAGGCGGGCACCTGGATGCTCATCTGACGGTAATTCAATGCTTAAAACCCCTGAGCCTCTAGGGTCTCTGCCCCCTGGACTTCACGCCAATTAGTGTCCTGCCAGTGCCACAAATAAGGTATCAAAATATGCTCATCATAAATGACCCAAAATACTGACGTTCCAATCCTGTTCCTGAACATCGTGTTTTGGATCCTTCTTAATCACGTCCAGGCGCGCCGGAAGCAGTTTGGGATTGGAGGGGGGAGGGATGTAGGGGGGGGGGTAGGGGTGAAAACATCCCAGAAGGAAAAACTAGTTGCAACTGGTCCAGTTGATGAACCAGTAAAAGCCAACCGGTAACCCTGGAAATTGAAATGGGCAAAACTAATCCAGTTGACCCTGGTCAGTTGAACTCAGCCGTTCAAGCATAACTGGACCGGTTAAATCAGTTGGATGTTACTGGTCTAGCTGGGCCACTTGAACCATTTAATAAAACTTCCAAAGAGTTGAACCTCTTGTTGAACAACTGAATTAGTACTTTAGGGTATAAGTATGGCACTTGTACTAATTTTGCCAATGGCAACAACACTTTAATACTGGTTTGTCTGTATTTCCAATGTAAAGGCATTGGTAATAAGTAGACTTGGATGATTCAGATGAACGAAATTTTTCGATATATTTGTATTCTATTGAACTGATTTTAGTTAATAGGGTTTCAATTATTCGTGTTTAGTTAAATGTAATTTAAACGAAGTAGTGAAATGTCCTAATAATTAGCAATTTATATTTGTAGTATTTTCGAAATGAATTGCATATAACTAAGAAAGGATTTTGTTTAGAATCTGAGACAAAGATACCCAATCCCTTTAAAGCTATGTTCTCATGTGAAGTTAAAGGTAACGACCAGTTATGGTCATGCGATTGCATTGTGAAAGAAACGTTGTGGAATCCATCAGAAAAGGTTGATCATCTAGCATATAAGTATTGGTGTGTACTGCAAGGTTCTGGAATCATCAAAATGATAAGAAATTTGGCCCAGTCCTCGTAAAGTTACAAGCACTGTACACAGAAAGATGTATATGGGACTATACACACACGTGCGCGACACGTGCGTTTATCTCTCACAGACCATGTAGATAAACTAATTTAAAAAATATATCAATTAGTAGGCGGTTTCCCGGCAAAATTTGTATCATCATGTATTAGTCAAAACATATTCTTTCACATGATTGGTAATAAGAGCTTCTATTTCATTTTTTGAAATTGGGGCGTTTCCAAAACTGGTCAAACTACATTACATCCAAATACTGTAGATATTATATTTCTTCAACTTCAATTTATATGTCGTCGTTTCTGTTTATCTTGTAATACCTGCTGAATATAGCATGAATTTTTGTAATATTGATAATGAAAATGAATAAATTTCTATAATCCTGTTCTCAATCATGTATTTCTCCATGTTTTAACTTACCTTCTAAAAAATTACAATTGGAAGCCATGCATATTATTTTTTTTTTAATGTAAATACAGGGTGTATGTGAAACCTATGTCCCGTCCCGGAGCTGCTCTATCTCGTGAAGGAATTTTTTCTCGGTTCTGCTCCATATTTGGATCATTAGAGTTTAAATGTGAGGTAGATTTGTGAACAGATAGCTAGATTCCTGATAAACTAAGTATAATATCACTGAACCATGACAATTATTATAAATACATCAAATACGTTATCACGTAGTGCAGTGGTTCCGTAACAAAGTTTTTCATCAAGGGCTCCTCAATTTTGAATGTACTTCATGGTTGAGATGCTCAAAAATTAGTGAGCTTGTCATTATGAATCATTTAGTAAACGAGTTAGGATCTCATCATCATTCATTCTTATCTTATGCAATTCATGTTAACCTATCCTTATATCTATTCATTCCATTCTCTTTTCATCTCATGATCACTACCACCATCATACTAGTACGACACATAAAATACAAGCAAACCAGTTATTATACTTTTTATCAAAATAAATTAGTAATCAATAATCATGGATAATGATTTAGACCTGTTATCTATTTTCAATACAAACAATGTATCCTCTGATAGTAACTATTACTCAACTGACGAATTCACTACTAGTTTAAAAAACACACAACATAAATGAAATACTTCACGTAAATGTTTGAAGTTTAAGCAAACATTGCTGCATTTCTCTAAATAATTTTCCCTTTTCTATTATTTGTGTCACTGAAACTTGGCTTCATAACACTACGCCTAATTTATCTAACTCGCAATATTATACATTGATCGGACAAGATCGCGAAGAAATGAGAAGAGGGGGTGTCGCATTTTATGTCAATGAACATTTACAATTTAAAATCCAAAAATTGAAAGAAAAAAAAATCTTTTTATAAACCATTAATCCAAACAACAAAAATATAATCG